CACTATCCACGTACATGTAATGTACACGGGCAAGAAGGGTTTGAAACATGAAAAACATGGTCTTGTCAATCAGCTTTCTTCCCACACCCCCCCCAGCTGATGCTGAGTTGTCTTACCCTTCATCAGGTCACAGAAGGCCAAGGTCACAGAACACTGATCAGATTAGGAATCCTGCACAGCCCAGCAGTCCTGGCCAGCCAGACATTGTTTTGACTGCCAGCGGTTGTTTGGCTAGCCCGGCTGCATTCATGGTAGTCCCTTCCTTGCCTTGTGGTGTGAATAATGGTTTTTTATAGCTGGGCTAAGGGACTGTGGCTGGTCTGACCTGTGGATCTGCTGGCCTAGTGTTTGGGGGGGGGACGGGGAAGACCCTGAGCTGACCTGAATGTGGCCCTCATTTTGTGATCATTTGGAATCAGTCCTGATGGATTTGTTGCCAGATCCATCATGATTTACTTTTCACCCAAGAACTCCCCTCCCCGCTGAAGCATAAATTATACACGGTCTTGTGTGATAAGGCTTGGTGGTAACTACACTGTAATGGCCTTTAATGGGAATTGTTGCTGTTGCCTTGACAGCAGCATGACTGATCAGTGTTATCCTGAGGGTGCTTGGGAGATTTTCGGGTGACTTTTATATTTCTTAGATCACACACTGGCATGCTACTTTTCCTTTTTTAAAATATTTTTTTTGTTCTATACATGTAGGTTTTTTTCCCATTGCTTGCAAAATCATTTATGCTCCCATTCTTGATGCCCAACGGCAGGAGGGAAATACTTGTATGAATCTTGAAATCCATGCTGGAAACAAAAGACGCCAAGATGCCTGGGAACTTGGCGAAAGAATGCATGACTCAGGTTGTCCATGAGGGGAAAAATGCGGTCCCCTGCAGTGTCCCGACAGCACATGAATGTGCCGCGATTTGAACATGGAAACAACGCACTCGCCAAGGGGAGAAAAATCGGCAACAAGCTCCCTCACCCCCAGCAGTTGGCTGTGAAATGAAGAAAGAGAATCCGACTCAGAATTGGCCAGTGGGAGGGGAGCGTTGTGGTTAGGACTCTGAAGGGGGGAGGGCAGGTTGGGCACAGCTGTTAGCTCCTTATTTGGAAAATGGAGGAACTGTGTGTATTTATGTTCGGAATGTCTTTGTCTGAAAACAGGGGCGCACTGCATATACATGTATCTACATTGTATGTACACATTTCACCTTTCAAGTCATTAAGCAGTGACAGCTGCCCAACTTTGCCTCACCTATGTACAGTATTCTTTTCCTATGGGATATTAATGTGCTGTAGACATCTTAATGTACATTGTATCTGACTCCCTGCCTTACCTACTGCACACCAGGGAATTTTTCTTTATTTATCCATGCTCTTCACCGGGTTTGAAATGTCAGACTGTCCATTCTCAGTCAAGTTTAAACAACTGCCTGTCTGCGCCAAGGAATTTTTTTTTTTTGAATCAACACAATACCCCTTGGCACTGTCAAGGGCCATGATTTCCACCGCACTCGATATTTTGGAGGGAAGTGTGAAAGATTTCTGAAAGAAGGGAAGGGGAGGGCTTGCAGTGATGGAAATACCGGTAAGAAAATAAAAAATGATTAGCAAATCATACTGTCATTTGATCAGCATTATGATGATCAGCAATGTGTTGCATTTTGCGATGTGCATCCAGCTTCATGTACATGTATTTCCATCACTGGCTTGTACATGTAACTTTTGATCGAGCCAAAGACTGTCTGTGCAAATTGTTATTGCCTGTCTTCGGGACAGGTGGACCCAATGGCTAGATGAGGTACGTGTAGGTACTGCACATACATGTATTCTGTTGCTATGTGATATTATTGATATCACACAGTTTACTGTGTGATATTATTCATATTACACAGATTACTGTGTGATATCAGTGATATCAATCTGATATTTACATGTAGTCGTATTTTATTTGATTCGTTTTACCTGCTGTCCCGGGGAACCTTCCCTTTGAGTACCGGTAGTTCCTTATTTATACTTCCATATGAAACTGAAAAACAAATCACAAATGCTTGCCAAGTACCTGGATATGTACAAGTAGCTTCAAGATTCACGGTGTCCTTTTATTTTGCTTTTTTTAAGAGGCAATTCTACCCCCGTTCCCCCGGCACAAAAATTAACATCCAGTAAAACTATATTTGCCAGTGTGGAAAGCCACATTTTTTGAAGGAAAAAGTAAAAATACAAATGAAAACCAAACAAAAACTGGGCATGTACCGGTACATACATGTAAAATGTAGACATAGAAGTGTTTTTTCACATACATAGTCACAGTTTTCACATAGAGCCAATTTGACTCCAAATCATGATTTTTTTCAAGTTTTTGTTTTTTGGCAAAATCAAGAAGGCTATGCAGTGCCTACAACTTGATGTAATCATTTTTTTAAAACAAATCTATTGAAATCACCCAAATCACGGTGATCCCTGTGGAGTGATATTCGACTAAACTGCACTTTTGGTTTTCACGAAGAGACAATTTTTCTTCTATAGTTATAACGTTGGCAAAAGATTAAAACTGTGGGCAAAACTGGTTTTGTAGTTTTCACAAAGAGACAATTTGAATCCAGCAATGTATACAAATGTAACAATGTTGCACCTGGAACACACGCTATAGCAAAAGCGTGTACTGTGTGTGCCGTTTTCACGAAGAGACCAAAAGTCATACAAATTTAGCATTTCACGAACAGAATACCTTGTTTGTTTACAAAATAAACAACTTTAATTAACTTCTAGAAATATTAGTTTTGTGTCATGTAACATCTGCTCTTTCTTGGAGTACATGTACAATGTAGCATTGGTGGATTTAAAGTAACACTAAATTCTACAAAATTAAGCGTTTGAAAATAGAGACCAAATTCAATTTTTTCAAAACATGTTTTTCCAACCCGATGAGAAAAATCGTCTCTTCGTGAAAACGATGACAACGTGCACTATACTAGGTATGTATTTGAATTTGTTCATCTGCTTTGAATGGTTTCTCTTTGTTAAAAACAGATGCCTATAAGATGATTGATGGAACACGTGCATCATAAATATTGAAGTGCACCAAACACTGAACTGACAGTCACTGTTGCTTGTTGGCACATGTCGTTGCATTGTCGTTAAGTCAAACATTCCACTTGCATGACAGAATGACCGGACCAGAACGATTGTTGCATTTGCCCGCAATTGCACCAGCCCATTGTCCTCTAGAAGACCTGTGATATTGTGAAATATTTACACACGAACAATGGGAAAAACTGCCAAATATCGACCTGATCAAGCAATGCAAGCCTGGCCACAACGGTAGAATTTCCTGTTACTGCATGACTCGGGCCAATCAAAACTGCAGTTTTTGTTTTAAATATTTTTTTTATTAACTCATAAGAGAGAAAAAATCAAATACAGACATTTAAGTAAAGAAGTTTTATTCAACAAATGAAAGTAATCTTTTCCTACCAGTACCTGTACGGTATATTCTGTATGTTTTCACCTTGAATAACAACAGCAGGGATTGTCAACAACTTTGTGTCAGAAACAAGTTTTTAGTGGCCCCACGTAAAAAGTTCTTTTTATCTACAAGTGGAAATTCACACGCTTCCAGAAATGTCCCTAACTCCAAGGACTGATAACACACTGTTGTCTGATAGGGCAAATTCTGGTCTCCGTGAACTTGACCTCTGACCTCTGAAACAAAGTCCTCTCAAAGTTCAGGATTTTGAAGGTTTGCATTATGAAAGGCTCATGATTATCATCTAGAAAATATGTAATGTAGTTCAGGAAAGTCAGATAAAAACCGTATTTCACGACGGAAAAAGTACAGACTACAGTATTTAAATCCAATTTTGTTCCATTTTTACAATTATAACTGAAGTTTAATGATGTTTAACCCTAACTCCCTAGGGTGTGTGCAAAATCACACTAAAATTGGAGGATTCAGGACTTTTAGGGTTAATGATGTTTAATGGATGTACACTGTCATTGAAGGGAATTGGTCTACTTAGGATAATTTCGACCAGTGACTACTTTTTTCAGTCACTGCCTGGTATCCAGAATATATTTTGTGCAGCTGTACCAAGGTAACCAACGAATACGTCAACCTGTAAGCATAGTATATATGTAGGTCACTGCTCGAACTTTGCAGATCGTATGCCATTGCAACTCGGGTCCTGTCTTTCGCGATTGTGCAATGTGGTACGAATTACGCTGCTGTACATTGACGCCGCAAATCTCCCGTACCTCCAGTAGGCTGGTACATTGTGAAACAATCCTGTAGTTCTGAGGGCTACACACCTGTTGAATGATAATTGTGGCAACCCAAAACGTAGGGATATGCTAAAAGCCCTCATAGCCAAGTCTAAATTTTCCTGAAAAGAGCATTTTTTTTGGGCCCTCCATCAGGGTTTTTAACAGGACAAATAGGACATCCAAGTTACTAAGGTTTCATGCTTTTACATGGAAAGCAGTTGTGGTTAAAAAAAAGAGGCGTCTTAAATTGTTTAAAGGGTGTTCTACAGTGTTCCGTCACTCCTGTGGACAAAACATTGCGTCAGTGACCTGCTGTCCCCACCAAAATTGGTTATCTCATACTCAATCAGAGCTCTTGAACCATACCCAATTTGCGTTGTTACGTTCCTTAAATTGAAATATAAATTCACATTCAAGCCTTCTGTTGTTTGACCTTGAATCAAAGGTTAAAAGGTCACAACAGATTACTTTTATGAAAGGGTTTCACTTACCCTTGTGGACAAAGTTTAGAAGAAGTTGCTATACAGTGCCTGCCCCTCGTGAAACCTTTAAATTACGAGTTTGCCCTTACCTAATGATATCTCATCAATGCAAAGCAGGCCCAGATGTACCAGTGGTACCAGTACATCTTGAAAACGTGTAAAACCTGTTCATTTCCCGCCCTTCAAGAATATCTGCACCCAGGACGTGTTATGTGTTGATTAAAAGTCATACATTTCCCCTGTTATTTTGCAGGCCCAACCGCCAAGCGCTACACCCTGACCACAGCCAACGGTTACCACGACGATGACCTCGGTGGGGAGGTCCCCCACCGCCGCCACCACCTAGAGCCGCCGGACATGGCTGCGGCCGGCCCCGGCTCGCTGACCAATCACGTGACCCGCTCATCCCGCCCGCAGCCGGGCAGCTTCGAGGAGCAGAGTTACGTCGCCAGTCAGAAGGAAGAAATGGCGGCCATGCAGAGCCGCATCCCGCAGACGTTCCGCGACGCCAGCACCGCCCCGCTGCGGAAGCTGAGCGTGGACCTTATCAAGACGTACAAGCATATCAATGAGGTGGGTGGTCGCCTTGCTGCTGGTTGCTTTTCCTGTGAAGTGGCAAAACGTCAGCGTGGGAGATGCTCTGTCATAAGAAATTTAGCTACATTCCTGGTCAAAATTGTTGGGACATGTCAATAGCCGTACCCGCTCCAGGTCCCCCTTGTCTCCTTCGGTCAATGTTTGTCATCTCGAATTGAAGCAAAGACCATGCATTGAGACCCAACATTAAGAAGGAGCCCGGGGGTGGGGGGCCCGATGAGATTTGGCCAAGATTGTAGCACTAGATTGGTTATGTGGTCACGTTTAGGGATCAACCGATGATCGGATGGTACATCGGATTGGGCTGATATCCGGCAACACCGGTAAAATTTGACCTTCCTTGCCGATATGAGTGCCGATGTTAACTTGAACAAAGGAGCAAACTCTGCACTCAGGTTTGGCAAACACAAATGTCACATTTTTATTTGAGTATAAATGAAACTGGTTTTTGTTTTTATTTGGTGAGATAAATGAACAGTTTTATCATGGTTAAACCCACGTAAAGTATTTCCCGAAAATTACATCTGCGCGATATTTGCCGCAACAACTCAACGCACAGACCCAAGGAGCTGTCAGTATAGCATTTCCATTGACCGCCAACAGTCAGGGAACTATGCCGCATGTGGCACCACGAGGTGTTGTGTGACGAGTCTGAAGGCAACCAGCAATTTAGCCTTTACTCAAGGCGTGCGTGGCTACCTGGACACATGACTCTCACCTACCTCTGAAGACCCCAACGTGAGTGGTGAAGCCACAGGCCGAGCGTGGTGCACCGGTGCCATGCCCAGCTTGACCAAAGGCTAGTCTTGATTCAGCCCAAGGTGCTGTGCGTCTATTCTCATGTATGCACTGTGTGCATTGGGTTTGAATACAACAGAGCACTATCGGTATCGTGCGAGTGCCGATGTGATGTACACAATTCGCTCAACTCAGTGACAGTTAAGGCAAAAAACTAATCCTGTTATCAATAATGTGTAAACTGACATTTTAAATTTTAAGGGAGTACACCAGTTTTGTGTTGTTATGAGCAGACCTGCATTCTGTTAAAGTTACGTTTGTCGGTAAAAAGATTGGATCGGATTGGACATTGGATCGGCAGTTAAAACCTACAGGGGTTGGTCCCTCGTCAATTTGCAAGAAGCTTGCAGTTGGTAAGAAAAACCAGACACAATGGGCAAACAGAGGTAGCAATCCAGTGTTGGATGACGACGCACCAGCAAATGGCCAATGTTGGAATGCTTTTCTTTGTAACAAATTTATCTAATCCATCAATCTGGGTGATGAGATTGTCATTTCTCATGAAGTTAGCCGCTTGCATGGAAACCGTGAACCGTAGGCAAACCAAGGTGACAGGCCTCTCTTCAGAAAACTAGCAAAGTGGCAAAACGTGTACAAATTTATGCTTTTGTGGTAACAAAAAGGTGGGCAGGTAGACCCTTACAGACTATGTGAAGTGACAAAGTGCACAATAATCAATGCTCTGAGGTAAAGCCAAAAAAAAAATGCAAAGGGTCCCCCATTCAGGCTTTTAAAAAAAACAGTAAGGCATTGTAGATTTTTGCAAAATTTGTGTGGTTTACTATTAAATGCTTATTTTTTTTTAATCCACTTGAGCTTTCACCCAATCCCTTAGGTTGCAACCTCCCGCTGAGGGCAGCGCACTTTATTCCAAACAAGAAAGATATGTTGCATATTTAACAACAAATAGAAACGTCAAAAAAGTCCTGATGGTACCACTAACCGTAATTTCCAATAACTCTTTCTTGAAGTCTATTTTAATCGTGCAGCTTCCTGCAAAAGCGCCGAACCCTTGCCACCAAAATGAAGTGATGCAAGGGTTGGTCACTGAAGTTGACGCCAAGTATTATTTGGATGCATATGTTTCTGGCTTGCTTGTGTGGCACTCCTTTTTTAAAATTTATTTTGATGTCATTCAATTAAAAGTGGTGTTGCCTTCAGAAAGGTTTTCAAAATCTGCGCTTAAACTGAAAATTGTTTAAACAAAATTAGATGGAGTTTGTTATTGGCTTTGGGATATCTAGGGCCAGAACATAATACAGAATTCACACGTACTTGGCAGACCAACACACAGTTATTATGAGCTGCGTCAAACATGCTTTTTTCGCCTGATTTCAGGATTTTGTTCATTAGTTGTTTTTTTTTAAAAGGTCGCCCAAAATCTGGAAAATCCCGAGTGCACCATTGATGAAGTGTTATTAAAATACGAATTATACCAGTCCGTATTTGACGGGGTGTGTTTTCATGGGAAACACAAAAGTGTACGATATCGGTAGATCCTATGTGGCCCTGGGCCCCTCAGAAACCAGTACACTTTGTGGATATGACATTTTCCTCCAAACTCACTCCTGGTGCATAAAAAATGGAGAAAACTACTGGATTGCCTAGTATTGATCTTGCAAGACCGATGCAAACATCACTGGCCTCGGTCCATTGGTCCAGTAGGTACTTTCAAACCCTGCATTGATTCTAAACGAAGCGACTTTCACACCACACCCCCCCCCTGCAGGTTTATTATGCCAAGAAGAAGCGTCGAGCTCTGCCAACTCAGGGCGACGACACGAGCCACAAGAAGGAGAAGCGGCTGTACAACGACGGATACGACGATGACAACTACGACTACATCATCCGCAACGGAGAGAAGTGGGAGGACCGATACGAAATCGATTCCCTGATCGGGAAGGGGTCCTTCGGCCAGGTGAGGCGCGGCTGGCTCTTTTGATTTTTCCCCTCCCTTAATCAGAATGAGTAACCATCTCGTAGGATGGTGCAGTGGTTCTCCTCTTGCCTTAAACCTCTAGGGCCCGGGTTCGATTCCTAGCTCGGTCCACGTGTGGCAACGGTTACCCGCCTGATTCTCTGGGACTGTGGGTTTTCTTCCCACCTCTACAACTATGACTGCTACTCACTATCTCCTCTGAACTGGTTTCTTGAGGCTTACAAGCTACAGTGCCTGGCATGCTTTTTTGTGGAATCTACGGTTTTGTTACCAGGAAAATGTAATAATAGTAATAATCGGGCAAGTCCACAATCTAAGTCTCACACTTAATGGAAATGGCCCCCTTGAAAAGGATCATGAATTACTGCTGGTCCCCTGGATTGAGAATGCCACAAATAGTTTCACATTTCTTGTCCCTGTGATAAATTTGTAATTAAAGAAAATGTGGTGATACATGTACACGTACAGTAACTACCGAAAATGGGTCACTTGGGAGACATTCCCATAAGAACCTGCACAAACTTTACTGTCCCATAAATAAATATTCCCTAATCTGATCTGACCCAAACTTTGTAGGTTTTCAATTTAGACCCTAATCCATCATCTCTCAAAATTTGGACACTAAAATTCGGCCCCCTTCTGGAACTGGGACATTAGGGAGACATTGAAATGTCTCCCTAATGACCGATGTCTTCCTAAGGTCGAAAAATTTATCACAAAATGTCTCCTTAATTAATGACCCATTTGTAAGAATACAAGTACCCTACATACATGTACATTTACATGAGATTCAAAAGGGGACATTATCCAAGACATGCCCAATTCCAGAAATTGGAAGGAAAATTGCCTGCATAAGTTGGACAGGCAGCTTTTCGCCAGTAATACCAATATGTAGGGCTCACAGGAAGGATGCTGCGTGTACATGAATACGCTCGGATCACATCACACAAATGGAAAACGTATACCTTTCCGTATGTATGCTGGACCTTTATACACGTACATGCTTGATCCGCACTTCTTGTACACACACACACGCTGTCTGAGACCTCTGTAGAGGTACGTAAGCTGTACGTTGAACTCAAACTTGAGAGAGTAAGCGGCCTTTTGCCAATAGCATCATATCGTTGCAAAATTTGATTTGCAATATTAAACAAATGTTGAATGTCATATCGTTGAAACGACTCTCAGTTTTTAAAGTACAGCGTAAGAACTTTTTATTCTATTATTGTTACTTTGTGACATTTTGGAGTTTTTGAAAAAAAGCGGTTGCTGTGCATGTAGCTCACCTTTATGGAAGGAGAAAGGATTTTGTGGGGAGGGCAACATTGATGCTTTCCACATGTGGTTAAAATGTCATTTGTTTAAAATTCTGTGCTTTGTGGAACAAGCTGAAATCTGAAACATACAACTGTACACGTCTTCTATGTGGGGTTTCAGTGTACCGTTTCATCGGGATCATTATGGATGCTCTGACCTAATTAAATGGTTGGGTTGCTGCATGATGAATGGCATACGGTTCCCTAACGATAGGGTTTGACCTACAAACGTCACCCTCTCGCCAGCGGTATCATACATGTACATGTACATTGGCAAGTCATTGCGTTCCACTGTGACCCCTCGGTGTAGTGGGGTGCAGCCAAGTCACGCGTGCATTTGGCAGGGTTTTCCCCGGTAGCATGTGTCTTGTGGCACTTTTTTGGGGTCAAAGGGGATCAAGTCAACAAAGGGCAACATTTCAGCTTAATGAGGAAAGACATTTGGATGTACCGTACCAGGCAAGCAACGTTATCCTTGGATCAGCTTGTGTTCACTGCACACTCTTACCATCCAAAATGGAAAAACTCTCTACAAAGTCTTTGAAAGATTGGAACTTTCTAATTTTGGTTGTCAAAGTCCAAGTTTCATACCTGTATACAGTACATGTACGTGGTACTGTACATGTGTGATAATATGTACATGTACAGTGTACAGGATGTTATCTGCTAACCTGTCCAATCAAAGTTAAAAAAAACAAAACAACTGTTGCTATATTTCAGCTAAGCACTGTCAATATTATCAATATGGGTTTGATATCGATATCGCCAGTGTTAATTACTTGGTAATATTGATATATTGAAAATATCAGATTTTAAAGAAATATCAAAACTTTGAAAACATTGATATTGAAAAATATATCCAAAATATTGCTACTGAGGAACGAACTTTATTAAAAAATACAAAAGTGCGTTGTCACATTACGGTAATTTTCAATAAGCCACGGCTTACGTTAGTTCTCACGCTGAGTGAAAAATGTCCGTGTAGCATATATTCTGGGTGGCTTATACGTGTATGGCGACATAAATTCAGTCACCTATCTCAGTCTCGCACTCAATCATTCGTGTACACTTTGCCTCCAAAATATCACAAAATTTATCCTCCAAAACAGACAATTATTTGTTAACCAAACGTACGTAGACGGACAATAGAACATGTCACCAAAGTGACTTGGATCACACCATTACGGTGTAGGGGTGTACCCATAGAACAATTTACAGCAACTCATGCCTGTTATAAAACTTTGAAAATTAAAATGAATAAAATTGATTGTCAATATCAATATAAAAATACAGTATATTTGTATCGGCCAAAATCGACGGAGCCTAATTTTCGCTTGAAGCTGGAACATACAAATGTACATGTACGAGCACATGTGTACACAGTACGTTCTTGTACCAGGTACCTGTGCGTACATGGACTGTCTTTCTGGTTAAGCCGGTGTGTCCACTTTTTTTCAGTTCCGATCCCTGATGCTACTTTCACCGGTAATTCTAAGAACTGGTTTTCTACAATTCCATGAAACACATGTAGCCCGACATTGTAAGGCAGTATTCAGCCAAATAAAGTTTTTTTTTAACAGTCACTTTATGCAGTGCTGAATACAGTGACGTTTGCTCAGGAGCCAGAGTTTATGTGTTCACCATTTGTGAAACTAAAGCCTGTCATCTGTCATCTGTCATTTCTAATTCAAAACATTAAATTGGGGACTGCACATGTTACCTCTTTCCCACAAAATCCGGACCAAACAGCAGTGAGCAAAATGAAATTTTAACTGATTAGGCAAGGGACGAGTCTTAAAATCACTTCTCACACATGCAGGATCATAGAGGGCTGTACAAAATAATAAGGACAAATTCTCGGAGCTGAATTCAATCAGGAACTGAAATCCTTCCATTTTGTTTCTCAGCTACATGTACTGTGCTCAGACTTTGTGTGAACATGGGCTGATTTCCTGAAATGCTAAGACATGTCTCAGGAAGGGTAACTTGTCTTATCCTGCATCTCATCTTGGGATCAATTTCACGAAACTTGACAACCGGTCAACAATTCCTAACTTCTTCACGAACTCTTCCTAACTTAAGATTGGTCTGAGGGTCATCTTTAATTCCTGTACCTCGTTGATGTCAAAGTGAAAGACAAGCGTCGTCATGGACCTGTATGTAACAATTTTCGTGGGGAAAAAAAACTAGCTGCAGAAACACTTGAGAGGTGTTTTCATTTACAGTTACGAAGTTTTAATTGAAATAAAATCTGATGGTACCGGAAACCTATTCATCATTTTAAAATGAAATTCTCAAACTGATTGGAAGCATACATGTACATGAGTCAACTGTTCTGGGGGAGGGTTTGGGGAAACATGCAGTACTTATCATGGAAAATTCTTGGAAGTACCAAAAGTCTGTGAATTATTTTAGTTGGATTTGTGATCAGTTGACTTTCAGTGATTGTAGCTCATAGAAGCTGGACCCAGTTAGCTTCATGCTTTCAGAAGTTATTCAACTGTTTTCTGTTTTTTGTTTCTTTTTCCGTGACCTTGTTAGATTTCTCAGCGTGCTCTGAAAACCTCTCATATTATACACTAGGAGAAAAATCAAGGATTGTACTGACTTGTAATTTGTGCAAGTGTTTGGAAGACGACTGATCGGATATGATGCTTGTTTTTTCTTCTTTTTCTCTATTGGTTGATGGTTTTTAGTTTGATGTATCCTCGCTCCTTTAGCCCTTAACAAAATAATTGTCCATGAAGCCCAAACTTGGAATGAGCATTTTAGTTCACTCACATCTTAGATGCACCTGCATTTTACGCCAAAAATTGAACGGAAAAAAAATTTAGAAAGACAAAATGAAATGCAGTTTATTCCCTGAACCAAAATATGCTGATTCATAGCCTAACGGAGACATTTTGTGTATGACTGTTTCTTCATTTCTATGTTTAGGCTGTGGCCAAGAGCCCAATTTGTGTTCCAAAGCATTGTACACATGCTTTCTTTACAGACGGTGATCTTCTGTCCCCCCCCCCAAAAAAAAAAACCCCGAGGGAAATCGTTCAGAAAATAACAGATCCTGCACTGGATGTTGTGCCTACGCACTCACAGGGAAAAAAAAAACTTGTTCATGTCCCCCAAATGTCCCTGCATTTATCGTCCTCTGTGTGTGTGTGTGCTGGGGTCGCAGTAGGGTTCAACAAACTTTGCTTAACCGACCAAGGGTTCCCATGTGATAAAAATACCTGGATGTTTGTGCGTGCGGTTGGCTGGTACATGTACGTAGCAACTTGAATAATCCAGCAAAATGTCACTGCTTGTCTATAACGTTTACTGTCGGAGCCAATTCTTAGAAGTGTAATTCATTTGTTTTTGTCCTTTTTCGTTCGCTTGTTTGTTTGTTTTTTGTCCCTAATTGTACGTGCTGAGTATAAATTTGGAATGTTTGTTCACCCAATTTCCTTGGCTGGTGAACAACTCAACGCTCCTTCATTCTGAGGATGTGTAATTCATGTTTACTGGTACTTGTCTCCCGGATTTCCATAGTCTTTGTTTGTGTCAGTGTTTTTGCCCCAGGGCTGAATGGTTGTTTAACCTAGTTTCATAGTGACTCCAATCTTTTAATGTTGTTGACCATCTGCTGGTATTCCTACATCAGTACCGGTGTTTTGTTTAACTTTTACTTTCCTATATTATGTTGGAGTTGAATTTCGTGAATAAAACAACTGGACCGCAGTGATTATTTTTGTTCAACCTGCACTATCTCAAGGTGACATGCACTCACACATGTGTGCTTGTACCCGTACATACCGTTCACATTAACCTTAAACGAAATGAAGCCATCATTGTTTCTTTTCTGTATTTGTTGTCAACAGTTTTGAAATAATTTGTAAATAAATATGTTAGAATTTTACAAACAACACTAGTCTGCAGGGCTCACACTGGTATTGATGTTATAAGACCAACGTCGAAATCACTGGACTCTACCCATCTGGTCCAGTGGGTTTCAAACAAAGCTGTGTCAGAATGGTTTCATGAGTCTGTGTGACATGGCCGTCATTGTTTTTGGCAACAAGCTGCCATGTATGGGATACAAGTTGTGTGGGCTCAAGGCAAAAAAAAATGTTTTTCCAAAAACTGAAAGTTTGGAGTGGTGTTTGTTGTACAGTAGCTTTTCAATCAACATACATTCATCTTTTCCTCTATTGATTGTTTGTTTGTTCGTTTTTCTTTGTGTGTGTGTAGGTTGCCAAGGCGTATGACCACCAGGAACAGGAGTATGTCGCCATCAAGATCATCAAGAACAAGAAACCGTTCCTCAATCAAGCCCAGATAGAGGTCCGCCTCCTAGAACTCATGAATAAACATGACACAGATTGCAAGTACTATATTGGTAAGTGTGGGATTAAAGTATGCAAATAGTGTTTGGAAGAAAGGCTGCTGAAGTGGTTACGCTGGGAAGTCTCCCGCAGTGCAGTGTGGAAACATCACAGCTCTGTAGTCAAATGTTGTGAGGGAAAGTTGAAATTATCGGCGGTTTAGAAAAGAAGTGGAATGTAGTGGCAGATCATCTCAAGTCAGCTAAGTTCTTTGAAAGAACGATCAGAAATGTGTGTGTTGGTGTCCACTGTTTTCAACCGCTTGGATTTATCAGGAAACTTTAGCGATTTATTACCTTTTGATCCAGTCAAGGCACCTGAAATAGCCCAGAACCGTGCATTTATAACGTAAGCACAGATCTTGCATTCATATTTGTAATGAAACCATGGGTAACCATGAGGGAGGTAACCGAATCTGCTGATACAGGCTTACTTAAGATCAAGGCCCTGAACAAAAATAACAGATCTGCTTCCTGGAAAACCTTATGAATGAACATGACTTAAAAGCATTTTGTTCTGAATATTTTGTAACTGATTGCTAACAGATGAAGCAGCACGGTGGAGATTTTAAATGGAAACTCAATGTCCGTAAATGTCTTCTTTTTTTTTGTGAGGGGAGTTTTTCTCCCAGATAAGGAAGCAGGGTTGTAAAAGGGGAGATTCCCTTCCTAGAAGGAAACAGTTGCTCTGTTGGTTTCAGTTAATTCCATTTCCAAAGGTGCTCTTTCCTCTGTTTATTTAGAGTAGTAGTTCGTGGAGTTTGAGAAGGAAGCAGCTGGTTTAGAAAAACACCCAGCTGTGCTTTTGGTTTCAATGCACGCAGGTTAATTAACATCAGCATACTTTTAACCCTAACACTCCTCAGTCCTCCAACAGGTGAAGAATTGAGGAGTGTTAGGGTTAATATACGTGTACCTACATGTATGGGTGTACATGTATATATATTCTCAGCTGTGTATTTTGATTGATTTCAAAGTGTAGATAGTGGCCTTCAGAAGTAAAATTTAATACATTCTTCCTTTTTTAGAGAGATAAACATTGCTTTAATAATAACACTGACTTCTGTGTAAGTGGGTTGATCGAGTGTACACTCGCCCGCTGCCATTCCATCCCAATCAGCAAAGTGGAACATTTTGCCCAGCCCTTGGATTGTTTTGAAGAGGGGGATCAAGTTTGTTTGCTCTTGGAAAGGTGACGTGAGGGGCAGCAAAATACATGTATGGCCAATGCCAGAAAGTGGTGGGCTTTGTCATCATATGATGCGATGCATCAGGGTAGTTCTGGTTGACTGACGGTGTCATAGGGGGTCAGTTTCAGGCCAGATGGTGATAGAATTTTGGCAGCCGTGTAGTGGAAGCTAAACCAAGTCCTTGCAAGTTGATCACGACTTCACCAGTCATCTACATGTACTGTGTGCTAGTCTCCAGTCAAGTCACACACTGTTCAAACAGTGCTTGAAGGTCAAAATTATTTGCATATATGTACAGGTACCTGTATGCAGGCTGTTGACTGTCAACAGTACCTGTAGTGTGGGGACTTCCGAAGCGAAATATGTCGAGCGTGCAAAGAAGACAGTGTACTAGATTATTCAATTCTACTTGTAAAACTTGTAAGAGGCAGGAACAATTACCCGTGCTTGAGTGGTTCCCATCGGGTTAGTAAAAACTGTATGCAACATTGAATTACGTAGTCTGAGCGGATTTGTTAAGCGTGTTTGATGCCCTTGAGTGAGCAGGGGCCAAGCCAGGTTATGCACTAAACCACTCTGCAACATAGTCACAGAGTTTTGGTGTTTTGTTGTTTCAACAAGTTGGTATTTTTGGCAGAAATTAACACTGCACCCGAGACACGTCCAACATCGGGTAATACCTTTAGCAAGTGCTTCATGAAGTGGCTGATGTCTCCTGTTCTTTTTTACAACCTCCTCTTCACAGTCAAACTTAAGCGTCACTTCATGTTCCGTAACCACCTCTGTCTAGTCTTCGAGCTCCTGTCCTACAACCTGTACGACCTCCTTCGCAACACTAACTTCCGTGGCGTCTCACTCAACCTGACGCGTAAGTTTGCACAGCAGATGTGCACGGCGCTGCTGTTCCTGGCCACGCCCGAGCTCAACATCATCCACTGCGACTTGAAGCCGGAAAACATCCTGCTCTGTAACCCCAAGCGAAGTGCAATCAAGATCGTCGACTTTGGCAGCTCCTGCCAGCTGGGTCAAAGGGTAAGGGTCAAAGGTCTCCCCAACACCGAAGTTAGCAGTTCCACTGAAGCTACAATCACTGAAGTGGAACTAAGATGATCGACTTTGGTAGCCAGGTCAAAGGGAAGGGTCAAAGATTTCCTTACATACAAGTTTAAATAAGGCACTTCCATTTAAATGGAATGACGTTTCGGAAATTCTCATCATACATTTTCTCTTCCAAGAAATTTTTCCTTTCACAAAACATGAGAATGTTTCCCACAGTGGTAAAAGATTTCCACAGATTTTCCCACCAGTGTGAAAAGATTTTCACATATTTTCCTGCAAGTGAAGAAACATCTTCATGCCCTTCCACACAAGTGAGGAAATTATTTTCACATCTTGTAAAAGGTGAACGTGAACGTAAAATCCAATTCTTTTCACAAAATTTCCCATTCCATTTCGCACTGTTAACTTTCAATTGCATTACGTTAATCATAAGCACCACTGGTACATGTAGGCCTATTCTACTAAGACCATCAACTTTGAGTTGAGTTGAGTTGTTGGGTTGAGTTGAGGTTTGTTTTGTTTTTAGTTTAGATTAGTTGCACTGTAAATGTTTCAAAAATACTTGACTAATTATGAATTATTGAGGTTAGCAATGGAATTATGTTCAGTAAATGAAACAGTGTTTCAGCCTCCGAGGGGTAACTTACAAACTCGGATTTGTTTTCCCTGTCCCTTCCCATAATTCCTTTTCAGATATACCAGTACATCCAGAGTCGGTTCTACAGGTCCCCCGAGGTTCTGCTAGGCATACCCTACGACATGGCAATCGACATGTGGAGTCTGGGGTGCATACTTGTCGAGATGCACACGGGGGAGCCATTATTCAGCGGCTCCAATGAGGTAGGTTGAATTCGTACTCCCTTCCTTGTCGGTGCTCCGCCCCCTCTTCCGGCTGTTATTGGGTGTTGATGGTTCTATTGTGCCTACGTAACCATGCGCATTGAAAGGTACTGTCCATTATTTGCCGTGGTCAATAAAAATACCTGACAAATTAATTGTTGAAAGGCAAACTTTGTTCAAGGAAGATTATTGGAGTTGCTTTTTTTGGAAATTGCTATTAGAAGTGTACGCAAGCATTGACACGACACACGGTTTTTATTAGAATTTGTGCAGAGCATGGCGTCGCATAGCTGCATTCAAGTGAAGGTGAGTACGTGTCCCAGATGCTGAATTCAGGCGTCATTCAAAACATGACTCAGTAACTTTTGATCTGAGATGGAAATCCTAGAAATGCCTTCTCGAAATTTACAATATTTACTGAGCTGAATCTTCATGAGATTTGTTCTTAGGTTCCCTACTTTAGCTTTTGTGTAATTTTGTTGCCTCAAAGGAGCACAATGCACACATGACAAATGATGGACTGTACCAGACTTGTTCCATTCAATGGCTGTGTCCAAAGTTACTGCTGTGGCTAGGAGTAACGTGTATGCCTATGGAAGTTATTGGTTAGTGGTTGAAGCCACTTGCCATAGACAAGTGTATTACCTGCAGCCACAGCCAGTCATTTTGGAGATAAATGGCCAGTGATGGGTAGAATTGCCTTGCTCAAGGGCACACACATTATTACCCCAGGCTGGATTCGAACCTGCAACCTGCGGCTGTGCCAGCCAACTATAAATCCAATACTCTTAACCAAGAGGCCACAGCACTCCGAAATGAAGACCCGGCAAGATACGGGACAGAGGGGTACCCCTTCCACATGTCCAAACTCTAAAGACGCTCTCGACCATTGTTACCTAACACATCCGCCCTAGATATCTGAAAAGAATTGCTGAGATTCCAGTCAAACAGTGGCTAACACAATGGGGGGGGTTCTCTCCATCCTATATCTTGCTTAAAATGCCCAAATAACAGTTTCGTTTGGAGGGCCCATCATTCTGACCTTGTTTACCCTTTTTGTCCTCAGGTGGATCAGATGAATAAGATTATTGAGGTGCTGGGGATGCCCCTTCCACATATCATCGACCAGGCGCCCAAGGCTCACAAGTACTTCATCAAATCCGACAAAGTCTGGGTGCTCAAGAAGACGAGAGACGGCAAAAAGGTAGCAGCCACTGGATAGTCTAGGTTCTAGACTACTGGGTCCTTTTTTTCCCAGCTGAAAAAAGTCAAAAAGAGTCCATGCAATGAATTGGTCTGAGCTAAAAATTTGAGACAACTTCATGCCTCTTCTCAGTGAAAACTATTCGAAATGCTATTTCTGGTTAGGTTAAACTGAAAAATGTACCTTCTTTTATGTTTTGAAGTTTCTTATTTTTAAAGTATGAATGAGGGCCAGTTGCTGTGATGCCAACTCATTTCATATATGATGATTTGACTATAAGTTACCAAAATTCTGTTACTTGTTACTGCCACGGCATACAGACGTTTACACTTTTGGTCTTTGTTTTCTCCCCAAGTACAAGTCACCAGGGTCAAGAAAACTCCACGACATTTTAGGGGTGGAGTCTGGGGGTCCAGGTGGGAGGAGGGCAGGGGAACTAGGCCATTCGGTATCCGATTACCTCAAGTTCAAGGACCTTATACTTAGGTGAGTAGTCGCAAGTACCTGTGAGTAGTAGTTTTGACTTCTTTTGGTCTATGAGTCGATTGGTTTATTTATCAAAAATTGAAGCCAGTAGCCTAGAGTCTGTACCGATTAAAGAGAAGGTGATATATGGGGAAACTCCAGACTGATTCTGACAATCCAGCCACTGTTCAAGAGTCTTATTGACAGGACTTGTGATTCCTCATTATTGCTTGCTTTGTTACTATTGTTAGTCAGATCTTGCTGGAAAATCAGTGGACATTAAAAATTGACTGTTCAGTTAATCAAAACTGTAATCAAAAGTGGAATGACGTGTGAGAGAGAAAAATGATTGAAATTTGTGGGCCTGTAGCCTCCTTATATTTGTTGGACTCTGGAATAGGAAAACTGCAGCACACTTGATCAGTCAGTTTTGATTTACTGCCTGTGCGCAATGTGTATTCCATTTTGTAGTTGGTGCTTTCTGACCTCTCATGCTGACCTGTTCTTTCACGCTTAATGTGTTCTTCACTAATTCTGATTTCTTTATTTTTTTTACCTGGCTCATTTTACCCTGATAACTTTTCACTCAGAATGCTTGAGTACGACCCTGCGGCTCGAATCAAGCCTTACAACGCTCTCCAGCACTCGTTCTTCAAGCGCACGGCCGACGAGAGCACAAACACTAGCAACACCCCCTCCACCAGTCCAGCCATGGACCAATCTGCCACGCCCCCTACGGGGGATGCCTCTTCCGGCTCTAGCTCAGGTAGGGTTTCACCATTTGTTCTTTCCCACACTATCTCGAGTGAACCTTGACTTATCTTTGTGCAACTCGTAAAGACATACTTTAATTGTATGAGCCATGAAGTTGTAGTTATTTTTAATGAAGGGTTTGGCTATTTTAGTCATTTGTAGTTCATGCCCTCGTGCTGATCTTGTGACTTCACACTGGTCAGACTCGTGACCGGCATGCAGTTAACTTTGATGACGTGTGACAACTAAATACTTGTGGTGACTTGTGACTTCACATTGGTCAGACTCGTGACCGGCATGCAGTTAACTTTGATGACTTGTGACAACTAAATACTTGTGGTGACTTGTGACTTGCACTGGACACATTAGACAGTTTGAGATTGCTTGGTGAGTCTTCACTCATGGTGAAGTGTGATGGTCTAGTTTTTGGCTTTTGCTGACCTGATGACTTCTTGTGGCTTGTGGTTGACTTGTGACTGATGTGAAAGGACTTGTGATGGTTTCTGGTGACTTGTGATGGCTTGCGGTGGCTTATGATGACTCCTGGTGACTTGTGGTTGACTTGCGACTGATGTGAAATGACTTGTGAAGAGTTGTGATGACTTGTGATGGTTTCTGGTGTCTAGTGACTGACTTGTGATGGCTTGTGGTGACATGTGGTTGACTTGTCACTGATGTGAACTGACTTGTGAAGAGTTGTTATGACTTGTGATGGTTTCGGGTGACTTGTGGTGACTTGTTATGGACTGGTGACTGACTTGTGATGGCTTGTGGTGACTTGTAACAGCTTCTCATTTGTGAAGGACTACATGTAGATATTAACTTTTGATGACTAGCTGTCATCCAGCCATTGTAGTGACTTGTCAGGACGGTATTTAAGAGCAGAAGTGTAGTGCACAGATTAGGTACAATTTGAAGTCATGAGAAGTCACTGAAAGTACAATGAGAAAGGCAGGTGTGAATGATTGACATCCTTCTGACCTCATCTCTGCTGACTGTTGTATCTGTGTTTTTCTCATAGGGGGAGTAACAGGAGGGAGTCGGGGGTCAGGCTCGGGGTCTGGAGGTCGAGCACGCTCAGATCCATCCCAGACAAACACGGCAGGTTCCCATCAGGGTGGTTCCCATCATGCTTTGCAGCACGCTGCCGCTGGTAGTGGCTCCATGGACTATGAACCCTCGGCAACTCATGGCACAGCTGCAGCCAGCTCACAGACCTGGGCTGCCGGCGACGGGAACGCCTTCGGCGCCCGGCCCAACAACAGTGCACACGGACACTTTCACGGGGGATACCACTCGCACGGCCACTCTCGGAAGCACCATCCGCACCATGCTTCACCATCAGGTCCGAGCGGCGCTGTCACGCAACCCAATGCCATCTCTGTCCCCCAGGCATCGCAGAACCCTGTCACGAACTTGTCTTCCGGTGCGCCCCAGCACGCTCACTACAATGCCGTGGACGCGACACCGGGACCCGGCTACGTGTACCACGGACAGTTAGACTGTACCCAGAGTGGATCCTTGAATATGCAATTAGCCGGTTACGGAGGTAACACCCACTCATTACTAGGGAGCCACGCCCACCCTACCTCGGGCAGTAACCCCCATATACATGGACAGAGTGCAACAAACGCTAATATAAATTATGCAGCCGCTGTTGGGACAGCACCCTATGGGTACTCAATAACAGGGCAAGCCCCTGTCAATCCAGTTCTAGTGACAACGCAACAGACTTCATTGCAAGGTGACGAGTCTCCGATGATGGGCGTTGTACAACAAAGCCCAGTAGTCAGTCACTAACCTTTGTTGATATCCGTAGATGAACTTATTTTAGCTAGCAAACAATGTAGATAATTTTTTTTTTAAATTGCACAGTTGGTTTTTTTTTTAAGAGGTCCCTCGTGGGCCGCCGTGTTGTCACAGCAGATCCACCCCCTCATGAGGAATGTAGTGGCCCATTGTAACACTCAACAATGTACTCAGCATACTCTTGCATTAACTTGAAGGGGGGAGGACATGATTGTTAAACACGGAAAAATGGCCCCTACCTACGTGTACCTGCGCAATGAATGTGATAGCCACAGTGATTCTGTGTAGTGTTCTCCCCTGGTCTCCACCACTTACCAAAAAGGGGTGTTCAGCCTTCAGCAAAGTTGCTAAGCTCCCAACCCTTCAGATCCCTTCGTGATAAATGTGTAATTCCCTGTGGAACTGCTACACAGAGACGTTTGCTCGGAATTCTTATGCACCCAGTTGATGCACTTGTTCCATCGTTGTTGTCATCTTTCAACTGTGGAGCAGCCCAACTTAACTCTCCTCATTCTGCATCCATCTAGAGTGTCGCAAAAACAGAAATAGTTGCACCTCTGTTGTTGTGACTTATCACCCCCAACTCCTGGTGCCATTTTGAGATTCACACAGAGAGCAAAGGATCATTTCCGGTTGCCTCACGTCTGTTAGATTGGCCATCCAACTCTCAGCAGGACTAGAAGAGAGCAGCCATACAAAGTCCGCAATCATGCACTCACTGCACTGGTTTGTGCATGTACAGATAGCAAGCAAGTGCAAGTAGTTTTCGTCAGAATGTGCACAGTCTCCTTGTGTCATTGTGCGAGCGCTGGGCTTAAGACTGCCAACAGTGGTCAAGTGTTTGTCACGTCTCTTTGTCAATCTTTAACAAGGTACTTGCTAATGGTGTCTATAATGTATAAAGGCAGTCAGAGCGCGCCTGTCCGTATCTAAAACCAACAGTCTATTCACAAAACGAAATGGGTTTACATATGCATCGTATATCACTTGGCAACAAACAGCTGTTGACAACAGAAAATCTCTTTTCGATTTTTACGAATACAGTACAGTGAAATTGAACGTTAAACTTGGGAAAACGACTAAGAAAAGAAGGAAAAAGAATTCGCAATCTCGAATGAATTTCGCATTTTTAATGCCACTTTTCCCCTCTGCAAATTTGCAGTAAAGCTTGTGTGAAAATGTGCGAAAATGGTGCAAAAATGGTGCGAAAAAATTGAAAAAATGGTGCGAAAAATGTGCGAAAATGGCATGGTGCAAAAAATTTGCGAATGCCGGGCAAATCTGTGCGGAAAAAAATGCAAAAGCTGTATGAAAGTAAAGTGAACACAATGTGAAAAAGGTGTGAAAATGTCGTTCTGAAAACGTTCTGAAATTCCCGACGATGCCAACGTCGGAGGCATGGAGCAAACACACTCTCTCAATGGATGTGAGTTGTTGTTTACTGGGCCTGCATTTTATGTGTGTGGGGACTGAAATGGGCCACTGTGCATGCGTTGTGCGTATGGATCGGTTTTGAGTACAAACACGTGGTCGTCTTACTCCCCGTAGACGCGATGCAGTAAATTATTTCTAGCCCCAGGGACCACACTATTTTTTAATCAATTTTAGCACAAATGGATAGGGTTTGAGTTGCCTGAACGCTTCATTGAAAATTCCGGGAAAGGAGATGAAGTTTCTGGACATTTGATCAGCTAAAAACGGGCATTTTTTATGTGGAAGTTTAGAGGCTTTCTGGCAGATCTACAAGAAACTAGGTATTTTTTAAAAAGAAAGGGTCGGAAACACCTTAGAAAGATGAGGTTTACATCACCAATGGGGACGCATCCGAGCGATAAGTGCACAGTGATTTTCAGAATGGTGGTAGCCAAGTGTACGCGCACAGCGGCCGGTCAACATGGTGTCCGCACTTGATAGCCTCCCATGTGCCACTGTACATAGGTGGATACAGACTGCCTTCTGAGATTTTGTCTTTGGTATTCACTGCTTTTATTTCTGCTTTTCCAAGATAAATACCAAGTATTATGATATTTGGTGGCTGTTTTGTTCCTGTCGATTCCCACAGAACAAAATTGTACATTCAAAGACCAATAAAGTTTGGTGGGGGGATGTTTTTGACGACTGTTCAGCTACATGTACTTGTAAACTTCACACTTAAAAATTGATTTTGTTTTTTTCTGGGTTAATTTCCTTCTCAGTTGTCAAACAGGTGTTAACATTTTCCCACTTGTGAAAAGTTTTCACACTTGTGAAAAACAGGCATGAAAGCATGAAAATTTTCCCACTGTGTAAAGAAGGTGAGAAAATTTTTCCCACTGAGGGGAAAGTTTTTAATAATTTGCTAAAAGAATATTCAATTTCTCGAATGAAAAACTGTGTGAAATTTTCCCCACTTTTGAGGTTTAACTTTCAATTGCACTGTACTGTACACCACAGTCATTTGTTGCAACTTGGCATTCTCCGAAGTCTTTGGATAATATCTCCCTTGATCCCAGCCGTCAGATTCCTTAATAGCCAGCAAGTGTACTAAGTTTCTGTTGAGGCCCCACTGTGTTTTCTTGTAACCCTTATCGCCACCCTTGTTTGATAAATAACCCGAGCAATTGTTGGTAAATCACCACAGTTTGAAAATCAGTGTTGCCAAAATCTATAACCGTACCTACTCAGCTTCCAACATCTGAATGTCTCGTCCTACCCATGACGTGTTATAAATATGTTTATTCATCAAATTGGAACTGTGTGACTGAATGGACGTTAAGAAATAATGCTGCACACGTACCTGTTGAAGGACAGTGCATGCGTGTTTAGAGCCATTGTCAACTAGTTTTATCTCATGCTGCCATAGTGACGAAGCCACGCCCACCTCTTGAGCACAGTAGGCTAGCTGTGAATAGATTTTGAAAGACAAAGTTGGCAAATGTTTGCAAACATTTTTGAAAAGGGGAATCATCATCCAATTGGAGTTTCTGTTGCTGCAGTACAGGCACTGTAAGCAGCCACAAGCTTACATTGTAGCCAACTTGTGATTGGACATTGCCAGCAGACATTTGTGTGATGATTGGCCACTGTGTGCCAATCACCTGCACTACTTACCAATCAGAGAGTCTCTAAGAAATGTACATTTCCATCAACTCCCAGGTGTCTGTTTTTGGAGTGAAAATCAGGTTGACTGTTGAGATTTCTCTTCCCGTTATTCAGCATTCATGTTTCCTTTGCACGTCGAGATTTGTTTCTTTTCTGAAATGGTTATTATTTGTTATTGTTATGTCGAACATGCACTCGTTTCACCTCCTTTCAATTTAAACTGAAATGTGAGTTACTGAACATCTTTACGCTCCTTTGCTGGTCCCAACCGCCGTTTCAGGGCGCTGGAACGGACAAATACCCTCACAAAAGTTTGGAGAGGAACTGTACAGGGGTCACAAAACTTTCTTGGTAATACAGTACGATTACTTGGAAATTAGCTCATCCCAGGGCCTCGTCAGTGCGGTCCAGATGAGCAAATGGCTTACATTGGCCGACTTTTTTGACCAAGTCAATGGAGCAGGGAATAAAGTTCAAAGTCACACATGCCCTCCTAAAACTACCAAGCAGACAGAAGGAGGGTCACTTTTGCACATCCCTGCACTTCAGCGGGAGACCTGGTGTCAAAATCAAAACATAAACAAATAACAAAACCTTTCCTGACTGTGGTCAACAACTGTTTGTTCCATATAACAACGATGCGGGATATGACCCGACCACTGTGGACCTTAGATTACGCACACGAAATTTAGTGGATGTCAAAGTCCGGGTGGTGTATAACCAGCCTAGAATGTCACTTACACAACCGCTGTAACTTTGTCATACGACTCCTAGCTGGACTCACTCTGGCGAATTACTCAGTTGAAAGTGATGGAGGCTGTTCTAAAATTCCTGGAAATATTCTGGTTTTTGTCACACGAGCAACGTCTCCTACTTGACCCAAGTTACAGTGAGACCCCTGTTGCAAAAGCACATCATTTTCACATCACTGCAACTTTGTTTTTGGTTCACTTGAAAAAAAATGGCATGATGGGAAGAGTGCAAAGGATCATGGGTACAGTGTATCACTGTCACCTTTTTTTCTTATAAAAAAGCGAGTAACAGGATTGGTCAGGGGTGTTTAGTTGTGGGACCTCTGATTGGTCGGTATCTGACGTGCTTCATTTGCATGGAATTTTGAGAATAATGTGCAAGTATGTAAAGTTGGAAGGAAAATATGGAAATGTATGATAATCATGTGCGTGTTTTGTTTAATATCCTCCACGAGCAATTTACATGTATGTGGTGGACTTTGTGCGCACAACACTGTTACATGTAACTGTGCATGTTGTTAAAATGTACACGGGACATAACCCACGTGTGATAGGCTACAATTATGCACACAGAGTACACCTGGAACTATTAGAAAATAATGTAATCCAAATTATCAAGCGAATTCGGTGTAATCAACAGTATGGGTCCCAGCTCTGGCGGTTTGGGACCTCGTCTCTGCAGACTTCTGGGAACTTCTTTAAAGTGACCTGGTATCATATTTGAAGGTTGTAGCTCGATAGGAAAACTAAGGTCGAAAGAAGAATGAGGTTGGAACCGGCTGAAACCTTGCATTGAGGATATATGCAGTTGGGATGGGTACCAGTTAGTTTGGTGACATACCCGCTGGGTGTTACAGTTGTGCCAATCTCCCCACTTAGCCACGTGTCATTCTAGACACGTTGATGCGTCACTCGTGTTGGGAAGAGATCACGTAGTGTATTAAAACATGTTTCAGGGAGGACACGTCCTGTAAATCACGTCTTTTTTGAGGGGTGGGGATTTTAACAGATACATCTTTGTGCAAAATCAGCCAATACTGAGTGCGAATCCCATGTTTGTCTCCACATGTTGGCAGTTCGAATAATGGATCCTATTCAGATGTCATTCCCCGTTGCCCCGCTAGGTATTCCGTCATGGGTGCAACGTTTTGAACGTGTTGTTAATCTTAAATGCAGATTTTTTTTTCTTTCCTAAAGACTGGAGTCATTGAGGTTTTGAGTTGAAACTAGGAAAAACATTTTAAAAAAACTGAATTACAAAAACGATATTTATAACATCAACACACAAAATTCTCCCAATGTGGATTCCTTAAATAGTTCTCCCAATCTGTTTCCGACTTTCTCGCTGGTTTTTTTATGTTCTGCGGACGTCAGACGCAAACAGTATTACCACCAACGAGAACTGTGCGAACTGTAGATAAATCGGTTTGTTTCGGTCCATGAAAAATGCACAAACCTTGTCCAATCCTCCATCATTAGATTATTTTAACATCAGAGTTAATGACTTAATCAGTCTTAAAGATCCATAGTGAGCGTTGCAGTTACTGAAATCCCCACCACAAAATTTTATAACCGCCCTTTGTAATCGATTTTTTAATGGAATTTTAACGATTATAGTTTTTAATTGATGGATCGAGGTCCTTCATTTAATAATTTGGAGTTTAATCATGGAATTGGAAATAGTGCAGTGAAATTTTAAATCTGGAGCTAGCACACAGGATTCCAGTATTTTTGTTCTCATAATTTTTACTTTTACCTTTTATGGATTTTATCTCAATCATTTTGTCTTTAACGAAGTCCATAATTGCAGTCCATTTTGTATGATTTTTAATCTGATTTGTTGATGCTATTTGAGCTAATTCCTCCAAAACGCCAAGGTTTTCTGCCATAGACTTTACTAAAGCTACTTCAGGAAATTGTTTTGGTAATGTATTCATTTGTTTTGGGTGGGGCACTGGGGACACTTGAAAATGTCCATTTCATCCTTACCTAAAGGATGAAAAATTTAAAACCCTTTTATGGACATTTTAACGAAAAAAACACAGTGGTTTCGGCAGAAATGGTCCAAACGAAGAATTACGTTCCGTGCTCGATTTTAATAATGTGCATGTACCACCTGTTTCCGCAGGATTTCAGCTGAATCGCTGTATTTCTTCACTTTAAAAACCATTAAAAAATGCGAAAGTATCCATTAATTACTGTTTCCTCAGTATTCGGGATGGAATTATGTTTTGCTTTTCTTTCCTGCTCGAGTTTGTTTTTTACTACGCTTATTGATGATTCCAAAATCTTTCACGGAACATTTTTCTTCGTTTTAATTTTAGAATTTGGCGGGGGAAAATGTAACCATTCGGATTTTCCTACAAGCATTATGTATTCAGAAGTCCATATTTGGTTTTAAAATTAACAAAAATAATAGTTTAAGACCGATTTTACAACCCCAGCGTACGATACTTTCTGAGCCATTTTATGGATAACCGACAGTGTCACCGTTAAAACTTTGCCAAAAGTTTCAAAGTGAGTCAAATAACGAGGCCTACATAAACCAGATAAGATGCAATTTTTATGCGCTGTATTATATCAATATTGGGGAAATAATGCCAAACCCAATGTGAATTGGATGGGTCTGTGTGTAGAATTTAGATGCATAATTATTTGTAATGTACAGTAGACCTGAAAAAAATTGACCTCACAAGTGTAAATAGGTAAGGCTGTTGCAGTCAATTATTAAAATGACGAGGGTCTGGTGCCCGGCCCCTTGTGAGTTTTAAAAACTGCAGACTGTGTTCAGCGTGTATGTTTTTGTGTCTTCTTACTTTCAAAGAATGATTTGAAGTCGTTATTTGGCGAAAAGACAAAGCGAGGTGAACAAGGGAAAGGGCCGAGAAGCACAAATTAGCTTCAAAATACTTCGGAATCGATCCCCGTTTAGCCTTTAATTAACCGTCTTCTGGTATTATTCTCATCTTTTGGTCTGTGTGTGCACTCTGTGGTGATGAATGTCGCCCCTCCGTTTTGGGTAAACCCGGGGGGGGTAGCGACTTTTAATGCACACAGAAAGTGCCTTACGTTGGCTGTGTTATGTTCTCTCAAAACCAGTGGGCTACGAAGTAAAGATTTTGGTCTTTTTATAGGTTTGTAAATTCCATCCTCGTCTTAAGCAAGAATCCACCATCGACGAACCCGATAGAGGTCGCTTCAGAACAGTAATTGATGCTGTTCCATGTTTACTTTTATTGTCGACCCTGAAGATGTTTAAGTCTAGAGCGGGTTTCGAGGATTTCAGTAACCATAATTAACTGATATTTTCATGGTAAAATAATCTTTATTAACTTAGGGTGAACAGAAGGAAATCGATTATTTTGTTCTTTTCAAGAAACAGCCGTTGGTTTTTAATCGCACTCAAGAAACAGCCGTTGGTTTTTAATCGCACTCAAATAGTCTGGTCCTCCGCAATGAGGAGGTGCCTTGGTGCTGAATGCGAGAAACTTGGGTACCAGATGACTCAAGCACATGACCCATCGACGGAAGAAATTTCTTCTAAACTTCAAGTTGAAGATTTGTGGCGATAATGTCTCGGATGGAGAACGTTGCTGCGAATTAATATTTCGGTTTTCTTCAAGAGAATGGTCAGCCTTGGAGGTGGACAGGATGGAAGGCATGTTGGGAGACAAGGGGTGAGCATTGATGTACCATAATCTATCAAGTATGGGGTCTTACTGATCAGCGTCAAACAGGCGTCAACACATTGATAGTAACGTCAACACACCGTCAACACTTACAAAATGCATTGAAAACAGACATATCGAACTATAATGTATACACTTAGAAAGAATTTCTTTTTAATCGAGTTTACACTTTACTACATTTCAAGGCAGTTTTTTTAACGCGAAAAAATTGTCTCTGAGCAGTGCCGCTGTTCGCCGCCATCTTGCCTTCTCATGGCGTTTGAATCGTACCATGGTTTACTGTATGAAGGTGACCCCCTGTAGCGTAATAGTATGGTCCGCCTGATCACGGCATAATGGGTACCGTCTTTCGTGGTTGTGCGAAGGGTGTTATTATCGTGAAATAAAACGGCTTTTCCCCCCCCCCCAAATGTCGCCTGCTGTTGTTAGCCAAATTGTATTTTAGGCATTATATTGTGATCAAATTGCGTTTCTGTTAACTTAGAATGTGATTTGGGTGTGTTGACGGTGTGTTGACGTTACTATCATATGTTGACGTTCTATTGACGTTAATTAGTACGACCGTGACTATGCCTACGGCATAGGCCTAGGCCCTATGCTAGTCAGCTAGTGATTGATAGTCAAGTCCGACTCCGAGTCATTTTACTAGGCCTAATAAAGTAAAGTCGACACCAAGTCGTTTTACTAGGCCTAAAAAAAAATATTAATTTATAGGTTGCCAGGATGGTTTTCATGGTCAGATGGTTAAACTTTTAGCCGAGGCCCGCCTGACCAGAGGAGAAAAGCCTACATGTACATGTACGTGAATATTTAGGCCTACTCATCAGCATCGTTCACATCTTGTCATGCTTGTCGCATCTCTTTCCCTAGGGCCTACTAAGACTCTAGTTTAGTTCCAAAGCATCTGACAATAAAGTGACATTGTATTATTTGCGAATTGTAGGCCCTAATGGTTGACTAAACGTTTAAGGTTCAGACAGCTTCACCAGATATGATTTCCATTTAATCATCAACAATCATGAATGATTTATTTTGGAATCAGGTGAGAAATCACAATATTGATTGCCAGCCATCTAGTATCTATAATCATATCCCAGCATCCTTTGCTGTGTTTACATGTACATGCATGTATGATGTTCTTGGTCTCAAGTCAAGTCGTTACGTCAGCACTGTCGTCGTTATGTAGTTTGTGCAGGCCTATTTGTGAACTGTTTTCACGGCCTCAATAACAGAAAGACTGGAGTGCATTCCTCCCCTTCCCCGTCCCTCTAGGGCTTTTTCTTCAACGAGCACGAGCCCAGCATCTTGCAGTCACCGGAAGATGAAGAGCTGCTGATCACGCAGAACCTGCAGGCAGAAGAGGAGCCCCACTTCAAGAGATGCAGCACTCTGTGGATGGTGGCCTTACAAGTGGTACTCATTGTAAGTCGGTGATCAAAGGTCCAAAAAGCCTTTTGCGAGTTCCATTTGAATAAAATCGGGCACACTGCATTCTTTAAATCTTTAAATTCACAAGAACATACATGTATGTAACAATTTTAATTCTCCATACAAAATATGCCTTGTGATTCGATGCAAGCTTTTGCTTCGTTACATAAGAGACGCTTGGCACCAGTACATTTTTTTCGATGGATAAGAAGGGAACAGAGGACTTGTAATGGTAATGTTTCCTTTTATGTTTAGTTTGAATGCTAAATCAAAATGTTGTTATGTTCTGCCATCTTATAAGGTACAGTTCTTATTGTCAAAAAGTTATCAATGTTATTATTTAAACTCTGATATTAGTATTTCTAAGTGATCAAGCTGGCTTTTATTGTTTTGTTATTCCTACTGGGATCAGTCCTATTAAAGGACAGTATGGATTACCCATGTGGATGCAACTATGTTGGCTAGGCTTATAAACCTACATGTATCTCATTTTGTAAGACACCTTGTCCTGGTTCTTTATCATAGTTGGCTGAAATTCGATCAAGTGTGGCTCACTAATATGGGCTAGTGCATGAATTTGGCATCAGGGTTACTCGACACATGCCTAGACATAGCTCGCGCATCAATTCCAGAGACAAGTGCCCGGTCAGGTACAAGTCTTAACAATTTTGACTGGCACAATAACCAAGCTGAACTGGAATAGTTACAAGCCTGGAGGGTTTCTTTTCTTAGCTGTACATGTCTACAGTGACTCAAAATTCGACTGCGTCTATTAAAACTAAACGAACCTTCAGTTGGTGCAGTTTTTCAATTGATACTGAGTGAAAAGTTGAATTGAAACAGTTAAAACCCTGGAAGAACTCTTTTCCTTGTTGAGTATGGCAACTCAAAATTAGACTGCATCAAGGTACACTAAAATGAATCTTCAGTTCAATTTTTGTTGCAATTTTTGAAGTGCTATCGAAAGTTGAATGAAAACAGTAAAATCCTGAGAGAATATTTTTGTAGTTTGAGGTGTGTTATAAAACACATAAGGAGTGACCAAATCCAGTCACTTGTGCAAGCCTCGGCCCTCGGGACTGTGAGTGACCAGAAGAGGGTCCTATTTCCAGAGGTCGAAGGCCAAGGGATATACTGTAGGACCCTGTTCGGTCACTCACAGTCCACTCAGGGACATAGTTATGCACCAATGACCTCATTGCCAGTCTATATGTGTGTAATAGGATATTTTTGTTAAAGTTCAGAACTTTCAGCTTTTTGTCACACCTGCACGGCTTTGACAGCCATGTCATAATTTTCCTTTAGTTGTTTTTGAATGTTTCTACTTTTATAAGTTTTGACAATGGTTCCTTTTTAAAAACACATATGAGAACTGCATCTTAGGCACGAGCATCGCTGACCAGTCTGACCCTGTATAATTCTGTCACAGACTGCGTACCTGGCTGCTTCAGCTGTCCTCCCGTACGCCATCGAGCCCTGCGTCAATCGCAACGCCACGCGGGCGGAGCAGTTGGAGGATGCGTTTGTCTACCTAGCCTTCAGCCATCCCGTCGTCTGGCTGCTGCTGCTACTGGCCGACCGCTTTCTCCAGTACCGTCACACGCTGCTGCGACGCCACGGCTACCTAGACTTCACCCAGAAGACCAGATACCTGCGCCGCACGGCAGAGTTTGTGTTTTCACTGGGTGAGACATTACCGCACCTCAATTTGTCCACCCCAATGTTCGTGATCAGTCCTGCATGTGGCAAACAAGCTGATTTTTGTGTCTTATCTTACGTCTCTGACAGGCAATGCGTTCATGCTGACCATCGTCCTGCTGCGCTACAAGTTCATGTCACAGGTGAGCTCCGTCAAGCCCGTGGGAACAGCGTCGATTCACGGCGTCAACTACCAGGAGATGATCATTGGCGTGGAGTCCATCATCGCGCTCTTCTGCTGTGCAAGATATGCAAGTGAGCAATTTTCAGTCGTGCTTACTAGGCTGGTCAGTGAAACCATGTCCTCATGGTACACTGTTGACCAAAAATTTCGAAAACACAAGATTCAGTAGCCAGCTGAAGACAGAGAGGCTTTCCATGGTAGCCATCTTGCAGGGCAGTTCTTTTGTTGCACATGGAAACTTCCTTTGTGCATATCCTGTGGAATAAAAGGTCTGGCCTGCAAGATGGTCGCCGTGCAAACCCTCTATACAATCAAATGCCACAATGTACAGCCAGGGGTTGGCTGTACCCAGCCACGGGAATGGATTCCAACAAACTCCCAAAGAGCTAACCTTGAGCATCGGTTACCGTTGTCATTTTTTCTGGATCTTAATCTGCAGTGTTAGTTTACAAGTTCAACAAAGCCGAGCTCCCGCCTGACGCCGAGCAGGAGGAGCAGATGATAGCTGTCATGCAACCCAGCACTCACCTGCCGGACATTGGTTATAGGTGAGTGCCCTGGGTTTGATTTCCACTCCATGCTCTGCACTTTCTTGTTCTAGCACCCACACACTAGATATTGGTTATGGGTTGATGTCCTTGGTTCGATTGCCTCTGTGTGCATGGTTTTTGTCTTATTTTAGCATCCACATTCTGGATATTGTTTTGGTCATATCTGGGTCTTAACCAGTCAGTGTCAGTTTTTCTTACCCGAAAAAGCTGCTGGGGGCAGTTTTTTTTTCTTCAACTTTTTCCAAATTCTTCAATGTTGCGACTGCGCTTTGACCCAATCTAGCATGATGCATTAATACGTCATCCGAGGAAATGAAAGATGAATTCCTGAAACGAGTGTATACGTCCTCCGTGGAAGAAATAAGGAAAATTATGTGTGTTTACACGTCGTCGTTGTCCGGCGTTAAGTGGTTAAATACGTCTTATTACTCCTTGAGGGGTTGTAGTTGGAATAAACCGAACAGGGTTGTGTGTGCACATGAATGCACGTGCACTTCACTGTCAAAGATGCTTGTACAATTGTTGCTCGAAGCTTGGCTTGTTTGTGATTGCTGCAGTGTTCATGGTTGATTGGTTCTGCTTGATTACAATCCTTGGGAAAATAGGAACATTTGTAGCAGTCATTTCTTTCTTGTCATCTGAGGAAGGTTGCCTGGTTTAGTGTGCCAGGTTCGATTCCCACTGTGCTCAGTCTTTGCCAGTTCTAGTACCAACCCTCCATATTTGGTTCCAAGGTTGGTGTCCTCAGTTCAGTGGCCTCTTTGTGCATGGTCCTGTCTCACTCTGGCACCCCCTGTGAACTGTTAAGTTTAAAGGTCAGTGTTTGGGGTGTGATTCTGAGTACACACTTGTTCTGTGCTTTTTTTTGGCTTCCGCCCACCAGATATTGGTCACAGGGTGGTGCCTTGGGTCCGATTCCCCACTGACTTTGTGCTCGCTCCTTGCTTGTTCCAGCACCCACTCACCAAATTTGCATCATAGATTTGTGTCCCCAGGTTCGATTCCAGAGTCCTTGCTTATTCTAGCACCCATCCCCCCCAGAGTTTGATCATAAGTTGGGGTCCCTGGTTCGAATTCCACCGTGTGCTTGGCTATTGGTCTTTTCTTGTCCTAGCACCCATATCTCAGATATTGGTTATGGGTTAGTGTCTCGGGTTCAATTCCCACTGAATGCTTCGTTATTTCTCAATGTAGCACCCATATTCAAGGTACTGATGGTCAGTGTTCTGGGGTTCAATTCCCTCTATATGCGTAGTTGTTTCTTGTAGCACCCGCCTACCAAATATTTGCTGCAAGTTAGTATCCAGTGTTTGATTCCCTCAGCATCCTCAATCGTTTCTTTCTTGTAGCATCCACCTACCAATTATTGGTTGCAAGTTAGTGTCCTGGGTTCGATTCCCATTGCTTGCATGGTCCCTTGTTCTCCCAGCACTGTGGGGTACCTCCACATATGTAGAGACTTATGGAAAATTCAAAATTCAATGAGAGTATTGTTTGGCTGTTGCGTATCTGCATCTGCCTTCTAACAGGATGCATCATCAAAGCCCATTTTCCATAAACCGAAATGTGCAGTCAATAAATTAACGGCAGCATTTCATTTGGCTCAGTGCAGGTAAGTTATGCAAACGTGTGCACCTTTATGCACTGGAGACAGATTGTGTCTTGCTACCGATAACAAAACTGCTTGTGATATTTGCAAATGTTGCACTTGCACCTTGTATTGAGGGTGCATCATTCAGAACTTGTTTCGTCTCATTTCTTTATGTTCAACAAGCACATACATGGATTAAAAATACATGTATCTGACCCCCGGGGCTATGTAAAATTTTCTCCACACAAGAAATAAATGAATTGCACTCTAGTGACTTAGTATAGAGGCTTTGTGTGGTAGCCATCTTGCAGGGCAAGTTGTTTTGTCCCACAGGGAAACCTCCTTTGTGCATATCCTGTGGAACAAAAGAACCGGTCTGCAAGATGGCAGCTATGCAAACCCTCTATATCTCCGTGGTCTTTGGTCCACCTCAGGGACAGCCAGTACGTGGAAGCCCTGCTGGAGAGACAGGCGGACATGATCCGCTACCTCAAGCATCACACCGAATACCTGAGCAAACGCATCTTGAAGCTGCGAGCGTCGCAGAAAGACGGCCGTCTGATGGGCAGTGTACAGGTCTAGGCGGTGGCGGAGTCACCAAGTCACTAGGGTCAAATGTCAGCAGCAGAGAATCAGGGAAGGGTGGTTGCTTTACAGTGTCGCGCCTGCTTTCCGGGGATAGCAATTTGCGATAATTAAGCAACTCCGGCAACTGTCTTGTCATCTTTAGGGTCTTTATTTATATTTTCTTTTGGGGGTGTGTCCAGGTCAGAGAGAAAGTTGCGATGCAATAAATATGTGCCTTTTCATAGCCACTAATCTAATCTCCATGACAAAAATCTGGATTATGGTTCCGTACTTAGCAAACAAATGAAACTATGCACTGGCTCTCAGCCTTCCATTGGAATGTGTGCAGGGAACCAGTCATTGTCCCCCTCCATCATTATGAAAATGTGAACATGGTCTGTGGTCCGGGGGGGGGGGAGTGTAGGGGGATGGGGGAGGGGGAACTTGCCCCGGGAAATAAATTGAAATGTAAAAAAAGGGAAAGAAAGGCGTTCGGAAAAGGGATGAAAATCTCCAGGTTGTTTGACGGTACAAGTACCTTGGAGTTGACCCCCTTACATCACTGATGGCTTTTCAGTTTGTTATGAAAGTAAAAAAACAAAATTGGTGATGGCGACAATGTAAGCGGCTATTCTTCTGGCCAATCAGCAGTCCTTGGAAGAATACTGTGGAAAACACCTGAGGAGCTCTACAGTTGAACACAGATGAGAGCACTGTTAATTTACAAGGTCATATTTATAACAAGGACAATTAACGTTGAGGCCCCAAGTCTTTGTTTATTTTTCCATTACTAATAATACAAGGTAACTGTTATAGGCAGGTGACTTGTAAAGGCCCAGGGACCTTGTTATAACAGTTTTCCATTGTACATGTACATGTTTATGGAAATTGGAGGAGCAATCACCGTGTCAAAGTTCACTCGTTTGAACTTTGCGGCAACGCTGTCCGTGTTCATTGCTAAATGGCGGCTGATTGCACTTCGCAACGTTATACTCGTATGTACCCTACCACATGTGGGAAGGTTGTGTGTCGACATGCCGTTCGCATCATCATGCATGACTTTTTTTAGGCGGCCTTCAGCGTCATTCATTATCTGTTAACTACCTGTCCGCCTCCCTCTTCAAATACACGCCTATTGCACGATTGATTGCTTTGCCCTTCGTTGGACTTTTGAATCTCAAGAAATCGAAGGTTACACTGGACGTCTGTTCAACTGTTTAAATGGAAATTTTTGCCAGAGTCGGCTGTGCTCGTATAGGAAGCTTTGACTGTGAAACAGATGTTGTCTTGATTTCTATTAAATAATGGCACTGAATGAATTGCGCAATGCTTTGTTCCTTTGGTAAATAGTCCTTGCCTGAAGGCTGAAGCATAAAAACAATTTGTACTTTATTACTATTATATAAAACGTGCAGGACAAAGTTGTTAAAACATGCATCGTAAAAATGTGCAAATTTTGTTTCTTTTCTTTTTCATTTTATGTCAAAATATTAATCTCTGGAATCGTGTATGGCGGTTTGTTGAAAAAATACAAATTTGCAACCAAAAAGGTCTCTGACTGATTTGTTTTCATTAGGTACGTCTACAGAATGGTGTTAGTTTTAATGCTGTGTCTCCGGGCACCTAATAGGGGGTATACGTTTTGACTTTATCAGTATGTTTTGGGTTGCTTTTTCTACTTTTTTACAAACCGTTTCCGTTGGAAAGATTATAAAGATGCAGTTTACGCGCCAACTGGGTTGACCGTTTTACGAGCGCGCCCTCCAATGACTCTTTGCTGAACGCTTACAGCTAGCTAGCTACAGGCAAACAAAAGTTGGCTCGTGTCCATGACATGTTGTTGTCCAGCTCAAATGCGTCACGCGCATATCCTCGATTACTCCATTGTTGCATTGTTCCGGCTAAAAATAGCTGTTTACTAAACCCGCCATATAAGGCAAGGATGTGCCATATATGGTAGGGGCGGATCTGACGTCGTGAAATATTTACATGACGCGGCATGGTTACGCAGAAATCCACACACCCGATTGGTTCTCTGTAGGAGTCGAACGTGACGTCACCGCTGTATAAGAGAATTTGCTGGCGTTGCATTAGCATTCGCAGCTGGGAACACAACAACAACGAGTCAACCAAATGCTACATTTGGGGACATTTTTAGTGTTGGAATATCACATCTTGCTTTCCCCATTGTCAAATTTTCTGAGTAGTTAGTGTTTGGAGGATATCAGTTCCCTTTGAGGAAAGTTCTGAAGTTACACGGTCTCCGAAGATAAGGATTTTAACCACAAATTTCGCAACATATTTTGTGGTTGTCGAACAAAGCAAGCAGACAACTCGGCTCTTCCTCGACGTAAAACTTCTAAGTGAAAACATTCGACAGTCATGAAGGACGAAATCGCAGCGGCGGTGTTTTTCCTGGCCCGCCTCATCAACGTGAAACGTAGCTTCACCTCGGAGCAGATGGCGGAATTCTCGGAGAACCTGGTGGCGTGTCTGATCGAGAAGTTTCGGAATCACTGGTACGAAGAGACGCCGAGCAAGGGTCAGGCTTTCCGCTGCATCCGTATCGCCCACGACGAACCCAGGGACATTGTTTTGGTGCGAGCCGCTAAGAAAAGTGGACTGGACTTCGACAAAATGAACCTCCCTGCTGATTTTACACTCTGGGTGGATCCTCTGGAAGTCGTCTGCAGGTATGGCCTATGTGGAAGTTAATTCAGGGCGGATGACAACAGCCTATAAACTGAATTCGATCCACTGCGACCGCAAACAATGGATCCATTTTGTTAGCATTGGTTGTGTGGAACAAAAGAACCGCTGCATGACTAATGAGTCTAGCTTGTTTTCAAGGGCGCGAAGAATCGGTCCTTTGGTCTGTCGACAATGAAAACGTACATGAACCCCCTCCCCTTTCCCCAATAAACCACTGTTGTCATGCTCCAAAATTTCACGTCAAGAAGTAAACACATGCTACCTTTTCACTGATCAAGTGAAACTCGCGTTGAATCTTCATGAATAGTCATCACGACCATTGTTAGATTTGGCCTAGTTAGGCGAACTGTCCCAGTAAACATGGTAGAGAAACAACACGAAGGCATTGAAGAGACCATTCAAGGCTGCTATTTCATTGTACTAGTTTATTGATTGTAGTTTTGTCTAAATTGGTATTAAGTAAATTAAATGAATAAGACATTGATCGTTGATCATGTTAATGGTCTGCTTTTCAGGTTTGGAGAAAAGGGAACAATCTGCCCGATTGCATCCTTCCCGAAGAAGTCGTCTCCACTACAAGTTAACGACAATGAGACGACAACAACAACATTGCAAACGGGCGACGCCAATGGCAATATGGACTTGAACGCCAACCCAAAGTCCGTCCTTGACAACATCACGGAGGTCCTGCAGAGGAACTCCAGCACAGTGGCCAACGACAATGTCGGGGGCGTGGTCACCACCCACTACCGGGGGCGGAGGAACCGGACCAAGTACAACCTGGTCCGAAACACCATGAACAGTGAGCAGGACTGGCCAGCGCTGTCCCACCACAAGTACCGTTGGGTCAGTAAGACCCTTACAGCCCAGGCGTAGCCCGATCCCGGCTGCACACAAACTCAACCAATACCAAATGCAAATCTCTGATCTTTTTGACTAATTTTTTTTAATATTAAAAAGAAAATTTCATCATGCAAATAGTGTGATTTTTAATTGAAACATTTTTTCTGTGATCTTTGCCAGAGTCCGAAAACGGGTTGGATACTGTTTTGATACCTTTTTATACATCTACGCTCAACTGGTGCTTCAAGTGATGTACATAATATCATTTTTCACACTTCCTTTATTCATACAATGTATGCTAGTGTCAGGTTGGCCGTGCTTAAATTAAAACTTGGCAAATGAGCTGAAGAGTGTGATAAATCTTTGATGTATCACGCAAAACAACAGTGTAGCGATAAATTGTTGGGTACACGCTGACTCTGTTGAGAGGAAAAAACCACGGCGATAGATGAAAATCGTCTTGACAATTGAATTATTTCCCAGAGAAGAAATTCCTTCGCGTGATTACGTGGACATGTACATCCCAAATGGTTTGAACTGTCGCTGTTCGTACCAAATCAACTTTGTAGAATGTAAATGATCCCAGGATTTTCATCAACAAACAAAATATCTCTTTCCCCGGAAACTTCTAAACCCCTCGGCTGTTGTCAAAGACTGTTTGCAGTTTATGCTGTAAGTGCCTCTTGTTCACACAGTAACAAGAGAGTAGAATTCTCCTCCCTTCGTAGTCATGAAACAGCCGTAATACTTTTTGCAGCAGGCTGAATGACTCATCTTCCACACTGGCCCCCGCCCTCAAAAGGGTCCTTTTTTCTTCTCTCTCTTGCAGTTGGATTAATTGCAAGGCAAATTGAATCGGCTGACTTCCTTATTATGTTACCTGAGCACTTTGACCGAGTCAGGGTTCCTCCCAAAATGGAACAGCATCCATTCATAATTAAGCTTGTCTGCAATCGGACATGATGGAACCTGTTGACATTTTGTTTCTGATGATGTTTACATGTAGTTGTCAAGATGATTTTCACTTTCTTTGACTATATTCAACCTGGAACAACCATTCCATGCTTGTACCAAGCTTGTATTTAAAAGAAATCAATCAAGAACTTATATTTAAGAATTAAAAGGCCTTTTTTTTCTACTTGCATGGAGATACATACGTTATACATAAATTTTTTTGCTCAGTCGCACAAGGGAAATTCTCTTGAAGGATACTTCCAATTGAATGTGGTTGTATATGCATGTACCTAACTGCTATCTATTCAATCCCTCTGTGTCGGAGTTCAAAGGTCAATCGAACAGTATTCGGTATTGTAAGGGTCACAGATGTACATTTAACAGTAACCAAATCTTTGTACAGCGAGGTTTTTTTAGATGACCTCATTCGTGCAATATGAATTCTTATATGTTGAGCATTATGTAAATCATGACTTTATTTTAGAGTTTTTGGTGTTTTGCAAGGAAAACAAGTAGACAAAAGTTTCACCATAGATGGACATGAGACGATTGGACAGTAATGCTTGCTAAGAATTTTTGGTACAAATCATGGGTCACCAATTAGTTTTCCTGTTTGACATTTTTATTTTTCGTGGTGTGTTTGGTTTTTATCCATTCTGGTTATTTTTGCTAGGGCATTCTATTGGGAATATGAGTGACGGACAGGATTCAAGACTTCACTGAAATATATTTTTCGAAAAGTTGTAATGCAGGTCATTGTATTTTTGTTACAAAGTAACAAATGAAAAAGAAAAAAGATTTTAAAGAGTCCTATTTTTGCCACATGAATCCACCTTTCTAAATCCTACTTTTAAATAGTGGACAAAATCCTGCACAAAATGAATTTCATATTCCCAGATTTGCCACCAATAATTTCGCTTCCTTTTAAGTTTCTTTTTATAGTCATCAATTCCATGAACCATCAAACAGTCGTCTGTTAATCCAAATGGAGTGAAACCAGACGACTGTTTGGCTTTCAATATTTTTGTGTTGCTTCACATCGTGCTACGTGTAACGTGCTGTTGATCGAGACCAATTTTATTAGTACACAAGATGTGTTGACTTTATCACAGATACAGAATCATTAACCACGTTAAGTCGTCCTAACCCAATTTGGCCTCGTTTTGATACAACACATTTCTCAACAGTTTTGCAACTTTTTTTACATTTTGAGTATAGAAAAAGGTAATAAAATGCAATGTTATTGAATTTGTACAGAAAAGAAATAAAGTGTTAAAACATCATGAATTGGAACTTTTGCATTTCGGGGCTGTGTTTGTTTGACCGCATTACCACGTCTCAGGTTCTCTGAAACTTGGGTTGTACGTTTGTTTCTATTGATCACTGCAATGTTTCCTCCGGATCTAAGACCGAGATGGCCGATTGTATGGATGCGTGCAAAACGGGCATCCTGCCAAGTTTACAATGCGCATCAAGGTCTCCCAGTACATGTGCAGTGTATTCCAATTAGCATATGTATTGACATTTGCATGTAACAGTCTTTTTGTGCCCCGAGCCAATTGGTACACGAAAAGGGAACGTTAATTTGTCCCCACTCCCTTAAAAAGCATATTAACTGCATGCCAGCAGACCTAGACCTGAAAATATTTACACACATGATTCCAACTGCCAGATGATCTTGCTTTGCTCGATATCCGAACACGGTTCACAAATTACAATGCACATTCCTTCCACCGGTTTTTTGGAACATCCAAGATTTGAAGCCCGTCAATCGCGCCCGTCAGAAACTGAATTTCAGCAGATACGACGCACTGACCTGGGGTGGAGCATGACGGGAGGATTTTCGAGTTAATTGAGAAGTTCCTAAGTTGGGGTGGAAACCGAAGTTTCCTTGAGGAGGTCACACCATACGTACGTTATTACCGCCGCTCCTTCGGCTTCATGGGCGCACAAAATAATGTACATAAAGTTGACCTTGGAACGAACTCCATTCCATGTACAGCATTGACGTTGGTCTTCGCTTATACCAGGAACTCTGCGGGGGTCTGGCTTTGGGTTTGCCAGTCATCCGTTCGTGTAATGTGAGGTCGCTAACTGTGCACGTGCAAGTATTTCGTCATGTGCATCTCGCAGGAAACATGCGACAGGGATGCGGATGGGAACTTTAAAGAGTCGCGAGTGTGATCCAATATGTTTTGAATTTTCGTTTTCGATTAAAATGACTTAATACATAGTATGTATGTTATTTAGGAAAATGTAGTACGGACGATGGATAAACACCGTGAGTTTGTTGCAATGAACTTTACAAAACAGTGCTTTATGACGTAATGTATCTAACCTTTCAACGCTCTAACCTTGCACACCCATTTGCACCACTGTAAACAAACCATATGGGTGCGCTGAACCTTTTCAAGCTCCATTGAAAATAGTGTAAACCAAGTTTGGAGCCCCGTGGCAGGCAACTGAAGTCCCTAAGGCCTCTCAAAAAAAAAAACCAAGTGTTGTTTGGTCCTTCAGATTTCATTTGATTTTCAAGTTTCAGTGGGTTAACCAATGAATTTTTTAATTATCTGCCCAAAACAAACTCACCCCCCAAAAGTGAATGTTGCCAAGCCCTCCCAGCGGCCATTTTTCAAATGACATCCCTCACCTTCCTGGGGCTCTTCTGACTAATTTCAATCCCATTTTTGTCTGCTTTGCCAGACGGGTGCCCCTGAATCTACAGAGATCATCCTGGGCCATACTGACACAATTCCACCATTTCTTGGCCCAAACAGACCCCTCTTTTCGAAACAATCTCTGGGGGGGGGTACTTTTTGTGCGCCTCGGCCTGGCGGAGAATTTTCCTTGACTTGAGACAACTGCATCCATACACCCCTCCCGATAACAACTGAGCATTGTGCACTAGTGGTCAGTTTCCAAGAACTGTGGCCATGAAAGCTGTGCGTGAACGTGCTTCGGTCACCCCTGAGAAGGTCGTTGCCTACAATGTACATGTATTTACCTTTCTGTTTACAAATGACGCACGTTTTGGCCGCGATCACAAAGAGGCTAGGCATTGGACCGTAAAAAGTGACCGTGTATTCGGTGGGCGTGGTTTTATTGTGATGGGGGAGAGGTCTCGTATTTTCCACGAGACTTAAGTTAAAAGAGTCAGCTAATTTGCATTGATTTTAATCGGAATTTAATTACATGTATAATGTTGTAGCCGCTTAACACACCCTTCTCTTCCTTGAATACAGGATTTGGTGAAACTCGTACTTCTGGTCTGGTCATAGAGCTACGTGAGGTCCATGGTATGAAAGTGTACTAGCTTGGAGCTATGAAAAGGTCATCGCCTTTCAGTTGAAAGGTAAGAATTAACTGGAATAGGCAAACTTTAAAATCGTTTGGAAAAAATTGGCAAAAAGTTCTTGGTATAAATATTGCAAAGTGCAATACGCGCGGAGCGCCGTCACTGGAAGATATGCATTATTTCACGCGCACATACACACGGAAGCATTGGAAAAACTGACATGCAATCCTGTACATCATTGATGCCTTGGGGTCTTCCCTGATCAACAGAACTGAGTATACTAGTCCGTAAAAAAATGCATTGTCGCGTGCACAATTCTGAAACTAATACTAGCGAATATATTTTTAGAAGGAAGGCCCGTCTCCGTTTGACATTTCCGCTTGCATTTCGGGGTTGCCGCGTGATCGCCTTGCGCTTGACTGTGATTGAAGCGCACCACTCGGAGATTGAAACGACTCGATGAAACTTCGTTAACTTACAGCATTATGACATTTGATATAATTTCTCCATTTTACAAAAATCAATCGATGCATTAAGCTTATTGTCCCATCCAGGAACAACTGACAATTGATCTTTTCCGCTGCGTGTATCTTGACATGCCTTCACCATTACAGAATCATGACGTCCTGTACATACAAACAAAAAACATTAAAGAAACAAATAGAAGGCAAAGAAACAAAACAAACCAAACAACAGGAATCTATAATCTGAAGATTGAGGGGAGGGGGGGCTCGAAAGTTCAAACTCAACTTATGGGATTTTGCAGTTTCATGCTATGTATTATAGTTGGACGTAAATGAAGTACATAAATGAAGTTAATTCTCTTATTTACATGTATAATAATTATATTTCGAAACACCCCGACAGACAATCTTCCAGGATGCATGGCTCTTGTTACCAACCCCGAATCCGTAAAGTGTCTAAAGTTCAACTGGTAAAGGCTAAAAGTTTATCGACCGTGCATTCACTGTAAAAACTCGGGTGTTAAAATCAAAACCTTTGGGTGTTATCAGATGACCACACCATAGGGTGTTACTTTAACACTGATGATGTTACTTTGCACACCTATAAGTGTTACAGCGCACTAGAAGGTGTTACAAGTAACACCAAATAACACAAAAATTGTAACACCAGTGAAAAGTGTTGGTATAATCTTCTGATAACACCGCGGGTGTTAAATTTAACATCCCAGTTTTTGCAGCGTTGTCTTCACTCTGCAAAAGCTGTTAACACTTGTTGATGTTATCAGATGACCACACCACACCTAATAGTGCTACAATGCACCGGAGGGTGTTACACGTAACACCAAATACCACAAAAAATTTTAACACCAGTGATTGGATTAGTCCTCTGATAACACTGGGTGGGTTTAAATTTAACACCCCAAGTTTTTGCAGTGCATGGTTTGAGTTGGTCCAGAACGTCATAAATTCGAGGGCGATGTGCTTGGAGTGGTTGTTTTGAATGCATACGACAAACACAACAATCGACAGTGCATAAAGCATTGCACATTTGCAGACCAGGCTTTTGCCTGTGATATACAGAAGGTGTTAACATCATCACTGACAAAAGAGAAGAACACCGGACACATTCCGTTTAGACTTTCCTGTTGTTTCTTCCGTCGGTGGGATGTCACAAAACCACCGACAAAACTGAACGTTGGTGGAATGGGAAGTTGTCAGGTGGCGTAATGTAAAACCATTTGACGAGGCCACAGCATGTTATCACAAATCGTGAAATCGTTGTCCAAACAAACCCATTTATAGGTCTTTTTTTTTCAATGGCCGGCTTCAATTGAATCGAATTCTCGTGTCACTGCTTTCCCTTCATGAACCTGTAACCCGACTTGTAATTTGACTCGTGATTCATTGTGACCTACAAGTAACCTTTGATCAAGGCGCCTGCTGCGAAAAGGATAGGCGCTCGAGAGCGAGGCGCTGGAGGAGACTATTTTAAGCTCCAAACCAACGCACGAAGATAGGCTACACGACGAACCGCACGNTAATTACCAGGGTGCACCCTCAGGGGCGCGCCGAGTCCACGACACACATGCATGGTGAACCTTCAAGACGTTTCACCGTTCACGTGTATTTAGGCGCAGAGAAAAAAAAACACGGTTTAGGGGAGGCGTCTTCTTTCGTCCATTTGTTTTTCGCTCCACTGAAGTGCTCGGTGTTCAGAAAAGGGGAAAAAAACTTGTCCTTCAGCAAAGTGTAACTTTTTTGGTGGATGGAAGTTTCTTAATTTCATTACGGGTGGACCGATAGGGACCACTGTGACCCTTTACGGCCCAGTGTGACAATTCTATAGCTTTGTATGCCTAGCCTCTGTTGCCAGTCGTTCGAGTATACTGTAGGGATTACGACCAAGGACAGATATGACCACAACTTCCCGTTGAACTGTTATTTTATCAAGCGTACAGTGCTTGGCACAGCTGCCTATGATGATGCGCGCGCAGGCGTGGAGACGCCCTTAACAGATCGAGACTCCCCGCTTCTGCTTCTCCGAAAAGTTCCACTTTCGAGTCCATTTAATACAGCGTGATAAAGGCCTCCACTCCGACCGAGGGTTAATAAGGATTTGAAGACTTAACCTTTGTTCCTGCTATGAATGCTCTGTTTCTTCATCTGATCGTGAACTTTCACCTTTACACATGCGCACAATATGTGAACCATTCGAGCTGACAGATCTATTGCAGAAAACTGTTGTCTATAGCTGGAGGCAGGAAAGTCGGAAATCTTATATCCAAACACTTTCCTTCCAAGTGTATGCATGAAGGAAGGAAGGAAATGTAAACTTGTGTTGGCATGTACATTACATTCAATGACACATAACGTCTGTATCAGATTTTTTTGTGGGCGACATAATGTTTGTGTGTACGGACGTGTTTGAATGTTTGTTTGAATGGGGAAAATTCCATTTAAGATCTCAATGGGACAAGTTCCCGCCTTTAAAGTACAGTTTTGGGGGAACTTTGCCGAGTGCAGCCATGGAGGTGAGCTTTACAGGATCTTTGGAAAGAGCCACACATCCCGGCGGACCTTACAGAGATCAATGAGTTACTTTAACATTGATCTCCATTATTTGAAACGAAGATAAGGGTTTGTTTGCACCAACCTGATCCCTCCCCACCCTTCTGACGGCAGTGACGAACAATAGAATAACAATGAAGCCATCCAGCGTCACAAAAGTCACAAATCAAGCTCTTTGGCCTTGTTGTGCGTTGGGGGACGTGCAACTATGTGTGACGTCACAACTGAGAATTCACTTCATGACCGCACGGTTCTCCGTGTAAACACAGTTTCAATGTTAACTCCACAGTACATGTAATTTGGCTAACAACGTTATCTTGTATCTGCTTGCCCTGAAGAAGGTACTTAGTTACCAAAAGCTCGTCAATCACATATTTCAGAGCACTGATCGGATATTATATTCTTGTCGTTATCTTGTAGCGTGCCTGTTATGAAGGTGCAACCGCGCGTGCCCCCGTCAAGCCCGGAGCACCCAAACACCTTCATCATGGAGCGACACTGCCACGCATGTTTGACGATCAAAGCAAACCAAGTTAAATCAAATAAACAGAAAACAAAAAGCAAGACCCCAACTCCTCTATTAACAAAAAACAAAACCAGGTGCTCAAAAAATGTAGCCATTGAGCACTGACGTGAAGGAAGTGTGCGATAGCACGAATGTGTTAACACATTGTTGTTCATATTAGCCAATCGAAAATTGCATGCCGCAATGTGTAACAGTACAGTGTTGAGCTCCACGGTTTATTTTTTATACAAATTCTGAGCAATAAGCCGTTCCTGTATTCCTGAAAGTGTCCGTAAGGATCGAAATGGGAGCCGTCTTTACCTATAATTGTTTCTAGCTTTCACTCATAACCAACTCTTTCTGTGTGTGTTGGAGCAGCTGCATTCATGTTGTTGTGAGTACAATTAAGAACTTATTTTAAAGTGTGGCTGCACTTTTGTAGATAAATTTCGCCGGACCAATTTTTCTCTTCGGGAGATTTATCGTCGTTCATGTGCGAAGCAATAAGCGAGCATCAGTCCTATTCTCAGAAATGTTTCCAGTAAGTAAATTCTGGGTTCATATTTTGAACAGTACATCTTATGTACTGAAATGTGACTTCACAGCGACAGCGCCCTCAGTTGTCCAGGAAAGAGTGGATAATTTTAAGTGTTAAAATGTGCACTCTTCTATTCAGATATGAATGTGAAAGAATTTTCAAACATAGAAGAGGAATACAAACCAAGTTGACAAAATTGTAGCCAAGAAAAATTCCATTACATGTGCGCCTTCAACAAAGGTCACTGTTGTTTCATGTTTGGTGGAAAGCGCTGTACATGTATGTGATAGAAGCTGTACATGTACTGTTTGCACGCTATTTTGCAAAGTCGGACCCTGGACCCAAAAGAATAACAAGACCAACTGGCTTGTTAAAAAGGATTATTGTTGACGCAGACTGGTTTATCGATCTAAGGTACGGCGCACTGCGATAAACCCACCCACGTCTGGTGATGCTGACTGACAAATTTCTGGAAGCTTCCACGGTCGCTTTTGTCAACGTGTAGTATGTGAGTCACCCTGTACTGGTTAAAATGGAGCTATTTTGTGTCGGAGTTTTTCCATCGTGCATGCAGATGATTTGCCCTCGAGACTTTTTACATGATTATTGCTGCACTTGATAAAAAAAGTTGTAAAAATATTTCACCGGAGCGAATCGATTTAGGCGGGCCCCAACCGCTAGTTAGAATGTCGACCGCTCCAGCCAGTAGGCTAAACTCGTACCGTACCAGACTGTAGAACAATCGGGAAGAGTTCCTTGGAATTACACGCAGGAGTAATGAAATGATGTCACAACTGCATGGTAAAATGTACACGAGAAGTGGTGGTAATCAGTCCATAACTGACGAGACATAGGCCTACGTATAGGCCTGTGGCGAACATTCCAGAAACCGGAGCTACCATGACACTCGTCGGGTGAGAAAGACACGTACGTGCTGACCCCTCAAAACCAACTCACAGAAAACCGAGCGCCGAACCAAAAACCAAACTCGGGAGCTAAATTTAAAAGAGAAACATTATATGAATCGCTGCACAGAAAGCCTGTTTTCTTTCAGCAAAACAGTTTCAGTTTATTTTCAGTTCTCGAAAGTTACATTTGAGAAAGTATCAGCAGTCGATGTTTTAGGATTTTAAAAAGATTTTTACTGAATAGACAATATTTTTCCTCAAAAAATTGCCACTCTTTACAAAAATGTGTTTCTTTTCTTTTACTGCCCATGTACCCACTGACTATCTTACATAGATGTTTTTGATAGGTGTTACAAAATGTACAAAACATTTTCAGACACTTTATAAAGCAATTATTTACAAGATTGGGGAAACTGAATTGACAGAAAACACAGTAGCTTTTAAAGACTATGCTGTCTCTCTCACACGAATAATGGCTATAATCTATTTTAACGATTCAGGGAATCGATATCTTTAGAGCGTCTCATCGTATAGCTCTTGACCTCTTGATGACGCTGTGTCAACCATCGTCTGGTGGCTGTGAAAGTGGAAAGGGTGTTTGAAATGCGAAAAGGAAAGTCAGAGGTCGATTTCCTGCAAAGGGAAACACTGTGGTTGGGCAAGAACTGCGAACCTTGTTATCAAGCTTTCTAAAGGCTTCTTAAATGAGATCCGAGAAATAATGATTTCATTACACATGTAAATGGAATGAAACGCGTCTTGAATGAAATCGAATATCAACACCTGTAGGCTGGAGTCATTTCAGGGAATATACCACGAGAGGGCGCAATACAATCCATCCAGTTTGGAAAAAAAGTTTCGGCTTTTTGTTTTGTAAAAATGGGTGATAAAAAACTTGTCATTCTTTCCCTCTGTTGTTAAAACATTCAATTAAATAACACGTTACATTAAAAATTATTTCCATTTACTGTAGACACTTTATACACGAAGTTGTTCCAACTCTGAGCTGATTGGAATGAAATCTGACTATCGAGTGGTTCAGTTAGTATTCACTAATATCGCTACGTCTCACGCGTCTCAAACATTCCAAATTTTGAGGACACACAAAAATATCTGATTCAGTAGATGAATGGTCGGTGGGCACAAAGTCTTCAAAAAGAAAATATGTCCAGCCTAAAACCGCTTTATGGTATGATTGCTTTGATAGTATAGTTGACTTTTTGGCCACACTTGGCCCATGGGCACACACGCGATGCCTCCAGGCGCTGATTAGAACACATCTCGCACATCACCATGTGCCTGCACGGCATGAACACCACGTTGGCAGGTGAGCCGGAGCAGAACTTACAGGAAGTCTTGTGCCTCAGTTGATGGTACTCGATGCAAATCTGTGCGTCTGTATCCATGTATGGAAATAGTACAATCGGTCTTAAATGTAGAGAGACCAAAGACCCGCCACTCATTGGATAACACTGCGACATCTGGGGTATATCTTTGTCTTAGCCAAGTTGCTTTTTTTTTTTATTTCTTTTATTTATTTATTTTTTCATTTAAACATTGAGAAACTTTATAGAAATAAACGTGCCCAGTCTTTGGAAGTAGAACCCCCGGTAGAGTTAGCAGAAATAAATCATCCCCAGCGCCTATTGGCAGATTAATCAACTTACTACCCACATTGAGGCTGATTTTAATGGTTAATCATTAAAATTTGGCAAACTCGTTGCTTCCCAGAAACAAGAGTATTAAGGTCGCCTCTTGAATGAGGAGATATTTGTGTGCTTTCGAATTCTTAAGTACCAACAATGCATGAATGAATGAATGCAAGACTCTGTAGTGCCACTGATAAATGTAACGAAAAAAAACGAAAACTGTGTTTCTACAGAGGGTTTAAGAGCTGTGGATGGTGATGCGAAAATGACGTTGAGTATGAAACTTACAGGATTGTGCACGTGCTTCACTTGTCTCCGTTGGCGTTGGTCGGGGAGCTAAGGAGGTTTAATCAATAAAAAAAATTAACTGTTTGTCAGACCGAAAGAACACTCCACCAGCACACTTAAAGAACAAGTTCACTGCGTTCATCGTGCATTGAAAACGACACAGGGAGGAATTAGTAAAAAAAAGAAAGAAACCTGATCGGCTCGTATGTTTCATGCCGTATCGCTATCGTCTGCGGTAAACTTGAACAGCGCCCTCTTTGATTACAACATCAGCGCGATGGATTTACTCACCCAGTCTCGTGCAGGGCAAGCGCGACTGTTTTCAATTCCACGTTCACGTAAAACCTCGCGCCTCTGCGCGGGCCTTCCCCGCCAAGAGACCGACCCAGGTTCACCCCTTGACCCAGTTTTGAGACCCAGTATCGTTTTTCACCGCCAGTATAGCGCTTGAGGGGAGTGAATGGACGCACTGTTTAAGCTGAGTTTGAGTGGCGTTAGTTTTGGTCAAACATCATAGGCCTAATTAATCTCAAAATCGCGTCGGATTCATATTCGGCTCTAGTTTCGACTTACTGGTGGGGCCTTATTCGGTGTTCACCTATACAACTGCACTCTTGAATATCTTGTCATTCATGAATTGATGAAAGTTAACGTTTATTCACGCGGTTAAGAACATGGCCAAGTCTATTCAAACACCAACTTACTCGACTGGGCACGCGCTCCGTCGGGTTTTTCATCTGTTTCCATTGGTTTGGGAGCTGATGGCGAAAAAAAAAGAGTCAATTTAATTTGATCAAGTCTACAAAATCAGACTGAAAGAAACAGGCCACCAAACACATCAGTTGTGTACATTTGTTCATCGTGCATAAATGAAAGCCGGTCATTTAATTCGCAATCATGAACTGAGATAGGAAAGCGGACACATTTCCACACGACGACGTGGGAGAGATAAAGAGCGCCCTCTGCTGACACAATGTAATCTGTGTTCATTTTCCAGGAACGTTCAAGTGATCGTAGCCACATTTTGTGAAATGCTAGTCAATTTCGCCAGGAAGTCGGGATGTCGATTGTACATACATTGGCGGGGAAAAAATTGTCCAGTGGTTGACAAAAAAGATGTCGCTCGACCTTGCCCAAATGTTATTCTTGCCACTACACGTTTCGCGCGTACTCCCCAAACACAGGACATTCTAGGATAGTTCATTTGGGCCAACGCAAAACTTCACGTTGGAGTGTTGCTTTGCAAACGTATTTTGAATCATGAATTGGCCTGAGTTTTTGCCATGTTTCAACCAAAATTTGTCAGTTCTGATGAAGACTTCTTGAAAGTGCCCAGACAGGCCCTGAAACTGAATCCTTTTTATTCATGGTCAGCCAAAATCTGTGTACGTGGGGATCTCCCACAGGCACTTTTTTAATTCGCATATTTGCAAATATGGGTTTGCTGCATATAGTTATTTTCTAAGGTAACCTAATTGCGTGGCATAGCGGTAAAATTTGTAATGTTAATTCGGAGCTTTCTTGTTCAGGACACTTTGTGGTCGCAATGTGACGTTTGTTTCGACACTTACACGGAGGTGTGGTACGTCCGTTTTCGTCAATTTCCATTGGTGTGGTATCTGGTGGAAAATGGGAGGAAATCTAACTCAATCAAATTCTAACTCAAGTAAATTGGGGAAAATAACTATTAACCTTTACCTTTCCATGCTCGGTTCGGTTTCCAGTTTTACTGGGAACGAGAATTTTAAAACTGTCTTGACCAATAGCATGGGGGGTAAGAAGAAATGGTCAGTTTTGACAAGAATGATATCCGGATGTCACACGCTACAGGCCACTTGCACTCTTCATCAAGTTGTGTCCAGTCCTTTTTCGGAAACTATCTGGTTAGGGTTTGTTATTTTAGTAAGGACTTGATGGTCGAGGCCTGAAATGGCACTGATAAGGCGGATAATATTGATGACATTGATCACAGTGATAGTGATGATTCGTGTGCGATGATTTCCCAGCTTCGCTGACTGCTCTACGGTCTGCCATAATTCCATCAGGTTAGGATCTACAACAACTCATGTTTGCACTCATAAGCAAACTACTGAGGAATTGATACAATCTAAAGCGGTGTTTCCATTGGACTTTTTTCTTCCTCAGACACATGGAAACTTACAGCGACACTTCAAAACTAATCACCTTCTGACCTGACGGAGCGGGTCATGACGTGACTAAGACGATAAACGGTGAAAACGACGATACGCAACGGGTCACACCAATATAGGCGCCTACTCCATCGAAGTTGAGGAGTAGTCTTTATTTGTCACATGCTCTGCTTTAAGTACTGAGGGGCAATTTGTATGGCGGTGATGATAACATTGATACTTACGTGATGATTGGTCGGCTTCATCCTTTGCCCCGCGGCCTGCCATAATTCTATCAGGTTCTGTTAACACACAAAATCCCAATATATCTATAGTGAATCTAACATTTGCCGGATCAAGTCCAAGTCA